CCCTGATAAAAGTCAGAAATCAATCAACCGCAATACAAAAGTCCTGTACAAACAGAGAGTCAAGTGACATTTCATTGTGTGACAAAACACATAGGAGAATGGGTTTTTTCTTCTCCTGACTTTTCATAACAATTCCTTCAGGGAGCAAGTGGCAATTAATAACTCCAAAGTATTGTTTGTTTTTGTCTTCCTCACATGAGCTGCGTTTAGACTGCAACAAAAAACATCAATTTTTCTCACATTCTGGTGTTTTACTTGTACTTGCAACTACCGGCAAACATGACCCAAACATGTATTTTAAAAAATAATTATTTAAATTTTTTTTTTTTTTTTTTTTTTAAAGAATCCACCTCGGGAATGTGTTTTTTTTTAAACGCCTGCCAAATTTTCACAGAGTTTTTTCACCGTTTAAGCAAACTTTGGTAAGATAACGATTTCTGCTCACGTGACTCTTCGCTTCCATGCTAACACACTCAGGGCACTGCATGTCACCCATGCGCAGAACTCACACAAAAAAACAGTATGAGCAAACTTTGACGTTTTTTTAATGTGTTTTTCCAGAAGTGTAAAAGTAGTCCAAAATAATCAATGATTTTTTAATTGTCAGTTTGCCTGCAAGAAGGCTGTGAGAGCAAAGTATTGTCACGGCGGTAATCGCCTTCTTGCGAGAAGGTGATGAATTTGAGTGACTGTATGCAGCATTTAGAGATAATAGAAAGAGAAAAAAAAATGTACTGAGAATTCAGGAATGACGAATACGATGGAGAGAGAGAGAGTAGAGTAACAGCGTGTCCACACACAAATTTTTTTATCACGAAACACTATTAAAAAAAGTTGTATAAAGAATCATTGTATAATTTCAAGGGCATCCAAGAAAGAAAGTAATCCTGAAACTCTACAGCGAAACGTTGTATACATGCGAAGTTTGCTACTGCGGTCATGAAACGGAAGCGGAAATGAGAGGTCAGGTCTCCTTTCGCGCGCGGTCATGTTAAGCCCTGCCCAGTTATTCTAGTTACATGTACGTCTACACACAACACATTCCGCGATTCTTTATCGAATTCTAGTTCGAAACAATGCCCAGACCCGCATTTCGTTATACAACGTATCGTTAGTATTAGCGTACACACACACAATGTTATCGTATAACTATCCCAAAACGGTATAACTAAACCATTTTGGGATAGTTATACAATGAATTTGTTGTGTGTGGACACGGGGTAGGAGAGAATAAATAGAATGAAAACATGGCAAGGAAAACTGGGAGCACCTGGATTGAGTTCTCAGTTTTGAGGAGAAATGTAAATATTTTTACCACCTTTACATTCCGATCTGTCAGAGATAGAATGTTGATATCAAACAAGATGTCATCGGCTGCCCACAAGAAGGTCTTGAGACATGACACATTTTGACAGCAGTGAATGCACCAATAGTAAACAGGTTGCAAACCCCTGAAGATTCAGATGAATTCAGTACAGATCCGAGAAAGGAATTTGTCAGAAAAAGAAAAAAATGAATTCATAGTGAAGCCTTCCAACTTCAAGTCCTTTATTTACTTCTATTAAAAATAAAACACAAATTACTCTAGTTGTAAACTTTCTCCTTCAGCCTGAGCTGGTGGTCAGTTCTAACAGATCAATAAATAAATAAAAGTAAAAATAAACAAATATACACACATACTGTAAATCTCTGTGTATAAGACACACTTTTTTCCCACCAAAAAAAATCGAAAGTTGGGAGTGAGTCCTATACATAGGTACAAAAAACACAATTATTTTATTTTTTAAGTGTTGATTTATGCCCCTCCATCTGCACTGTGCCTAGCAATGTCTCCCAGCTCAGTCATACAAGGTGTGTTGACTCACCACTCGGAAACTAGAACAACACTACCTGAGGCTGTATGGCCAGATTTCTGTTTGGACTTGGAGGAAAATTTGTCTGTGATCTGTAGTTCTAAAAACGACATTGTTACTATTATTTGTGACAAGTTCACAAGCACAAATCGGCACATACACTGTAAAGATCCTTCTCTTCATGTGGGTTTTTGAACCTACATGTAAGTGTAGCTTGCTGCCTACAGAGTCGGCAAAAAAAAAAAAGTTTTTTAATTTTTTAATTTTTAATTTTGCTCCCAAAATAGGGGTGAGTCTTATACACAGAGATTTACGGTAACATGAATACAATGTTACAAACAGTTACATGTAAATATAAACATTTTATTCCTTTATTTCCATTAAAAATAACACACAAATGCACATTAAACAGGCATGTTAATTCCACGCCGCAAGTCTTTTTGCACAAAATTTAATATTTACTTTCATCTTGTAATGACACTTTTGACATTACATCACAGACTTGTTGAGCTCATTCTTAATTCATTAAATATGGATGTTCCTTCTCAGCAATGTTTGTTCAAGAAGGGACTGATGGAAAATTTACTAGAAATGTCGTCATTAGTTGTATATATTTGTATACATAACACCGGGCTATTATCCTAGTCACCCAATACAATGCCCATTGACACTACAGGAAGGGAAGAGTGATAGTTATACTGATTACTGATAGAGTGGAAACAATTTCCGGATACGGGTAAACGCCTATGCTGTACAAAGGTGGAAGAGTTGTGGCGTCATAACTCTAGTCATAACAACCAGTCCTATGAGAAGTTGATGATCTTGGAGAGACAATGAATGAACATGTAGATCATGTCTTGACTTACTTTTCATAAACCACTTTCGTATTTACTATGAGTATGACAGAGGTTAGAGTCTAGACTTGGACCAGACACAGAGCTATAATAGCGTCGTCCAATGCAATGTCCATTTGAGTGGCCTGCGTACCGGCCATGATTGTTACATGTATGCCACCCGCAGTTTTACTTTTGGATGTATACTTTTGGACCTATGAAAATACCTTTAAATTCCCCTTTTCTGATGCAGAAATAATTTAAAATCTTTTACAACAGTGATGTGCATGTTCATCATTATGGAAAATGTTAAAGGAATATATGATCGAAACAACAGCACAGTACGCACTCGCAGACCTCGGCTTTAGCCTTCTAAAGCCATAGTGGACGTGCATGTGTGCAGTTACGAAAAAGTGGTATTCGAGCTTGAATATTGGACATTAATCCCTTGTCTAATTGTCAGTAAACATTACAGCTACTTTCTCATGGTCTTGTCTAAATTACAAATTATAGAAACTGTATTTAAAGGTCATTATGATCATTTCATTATGATACTAATTACAAATGATATCTACATGTTTATGCAGTTTTTTTTAGTGGGAAATCAAGGGGAAATCAAGGGGAAATATTTTATTTTCATTTCCTTTTTCATTATAGCCTGAAGATTTCTGTGGTATTTGATACTAATTTATATGTTGAAGAAAGAGCAAGAAAGGAAATGAATGTACTGTGCTTCACCAAATTTCATACTGTGTGTTTTCAAGGTTACTAAGTACGTACATGTGCTTGTTGCATCATGACTCTTGGATATATATGTGGTTCAATACTATGTGACAACTGTTATAGATACGTAGAGTAGAGGTAGAATTTATATCACTTCTTGTAACTTGTTACAGATTTGTAAAAATGATAAGTGGAGGTATATCTTCAGTTGTCAATCTTTTGTGGTATAGATTTCACTTTTACTGGTTTGAGAAAGATATTAGAAGGATTCACCAGTCACACAGACAGCAAAGACATCAGATTAAAACCAGGCCAAACAAAAAATACATTTTCAAGCCCTTTTGTTTTAAAGGAAATTCTAAAATAGTATTATCTTTCAAATGCCATTGGAATCTAACCCTTTCTTTTGGCCTGCAAATAGGACATAGTACCTTTAAAGCACTCTGAAAAGGCAGTAAAGAGGTACTCATATACATGTAGCTAGAACCAGGCAGAAAACGTAAAAGGGCAAGAAGAAGATATTTTAGAGGCAAGTAGACTAGTAGGGGTGTTAATAGCTCAGGCTGCAAAATCCAAGATGCATGGTAGGACATCAAAACCCCATGGGAATCTTCCCCATGAGAATCCTCCTCCAATTTTATGAGACCATTGGGGCATTTATACTACGAGCAAAAACCCAGGTATTTTCTCAATTTCCAGAGAATTGTTGGGACTACCCAGAAACATGACAACAAATCTGAATCAAATAACCACCCCTGGAGAGTGGTTTTTCAACAATTTCAGACTTCAGCACTTTTTTGCAATGCCCGCTCCAACCTACCAACGAGTTACTCAGGTTTTTGCCGACGTGGCTCTCCTCATTTCTGTGCTATTACGTTCGGAGCAGCGAGTGGTCAGGCGTGCACAGAACTCACCAAAAACCAGACTTAGCAAACACTAATGGCTTTTTTCCTCTAGTGTAAAATTATAGTTTTAAATACTGATGGTTTTTCAATTCATGTTTTGTAGTGTGAAAGAGCCTACTGTACTACATGTAAGGGCACTGTTGAGGGGTATTGGAGTCAGGTATCATCAGGGAATTGAATTGGATTAATTAAACACCTATGGGTCTGAGAGGTTTAGGCCTATAGATCATGATGGGTTCTGGGAGGACCTAGGGGTTGCGTGACATAATAAAAAACACCATAGGTGCCTGATGAGTTTCTTTAGATGGATGAGTGTTCAGCTTGGGCCAGGCTGGGATGCAGAAATCTCTAGTATGATGTTATGGTAGTTTGACAATAGGGGGGATGGGGAGAGGGGGGGGGGGGGTTGGTCAGATCACTCCCTGAGAATTAAAGAGAGACAATAGCAGGGTTCCATAGGCGCAAAGACCTTACATACTTTAATTATTCCATTATTGCCACAATGTTCTTGGCTTGATATTATCATTTAATGTAAAAGGTAGTAGACTTATAGAATTGAACATACATGTAGATCATGCTGTCATATCCAGTGGTTAATTGTGAAATCTCTTTCATGTTTTTTTCCTTTTGAGGATAATTTCCTCTTAACCAATTTCCATTCTTTGTTTTGTGTATCTGTTTGACAGAAGAGGAACTGAAACGTTTGAATGAAGCCATTACATCAGACCAGGGTTACAACTGCATGGAGTTTGGCTATGGGGCTGGAAATGAAGACTATGATCCTATGCAACCAACTGAAGATGAAGCAGGTATGATAAATTACTGAACCTAGAACGATAGAAGAGAGATTGAAGGGTGAAAGAGAGATCAAAAGATATTGAAAGGACAACATAACGTACATGTAGGAAGAAATGGGCTTTCAGACATCCACTTTCACTTTTTATTTTTTTAAAGAAATTTAAAGTTTATACTAGTGCTGTAGTCAAACGTTTAACCGTCCGGTATCCGACCGCCCATGGCGGATTCCGTTTTCAATTGGACGGTTTCGTTTTCCCGAATTTTTTTTTTTTTTTTTTTTTTTTTTATATATTTTTTTTTTAAATTTTTTTTTTATAATTTTTTTTTTATTTTTTTATTTTTTTAAGTTTCGATTTAAGCCCCTCCACCTGGCACTATGCCTGGCAATGTCTCCCAGCTCAGTAATCTGTGTGTTGACTCACCACTCCAAAACTAGAACAACACTCCAATTTGTCTGTCATCTTGGTTTGAAAGTAATCTTTGTAATAGATCTCATCATCTCAATATGTAGTTTATAATAATAATTCATCCAACTTTTACACAAGGTTCTGTCCTAGGTCCTCTACTGTTTTTAATTTACATTAATGATCTTACACATTCTTCTAAAAACAACATTGTTACTATTATTTGTGACAAGTTCACAAGCACAAATCGGCCCAAATGCACCTCGCAGTTAAATGAAAGTTGCCGACAGAGTCGGTAAAAAAAAATAAAAAAAAATAAAAAATAAAAAAACGATTTTTTTTTTTTTTTTTTTTTAATTTTTTTTTTTTTTTTTTTTTTTTTAAATTTTTTTTAAATTTTTTTTTTTATTAAATAAATCGTTTAACCGAAAACCGTCCGGTTTTGACAGGCGGTTAAACGGAATTGGAGATATCCGTGATGTTACAGCACTAGTTTATACTTTTTTATGGGGGATTATTTGGGGAAATTTTAAAAGAAATTTAAAGTTTATACATTTTTATGGGGGATTATTTGGGGAAATTTTAAAACAGTTGGTCTTCATATGGCCGGTCTTCATATGGCCTTTCTTCATCAGCTCGAGATTGCTAAATAACCCGCTATTTAAACTATCCTGATCGCACATTATCCAGCCAATTTGCGTCTTCATCAGCCCGCAATTGCAATTATCGAGATAGTTGGTCGAGATAATCACCCCAAGATATCTTGGGCTAGTCTGCAAAGTATCCCGCTGTTTGTCCGGTGCGTCTTCACCAGCCCGAAGACTCGCACTATGTGTGAACGCTGAGCAAAATATCTTTAGCTAATTTCTTGAGCTCAAGTTTTGGGTTGAATCTCAAGCTGATGAAGACGCGATTTGTGACTTCAGGTTTATTCCCCAAATCAGAAATAGCGGGCTATTTGGCAATCTCAAGCTGATGAAGACATACCTACATGTATAGATAACCTACATTTTCTTTGTGATTTGTTTAGAATCCGGAGAGAAGCAGAAGAAGCTTGTATCCTGTGACTACGAGCCAACCTCATATAAAGAAGAAGAAACGGAACTGGAGGAACCCTTCATAGCACCTCCAGAGTTAAAACTACCATCAGGAATGGAACAGGTAATCATTGAGAAATTATTGAAAACAAATACAGTGAAGCCTATTTATTAAAAAAACCACTTACTACTCTTTTTGCAAGCTGTTTTGTTTGTGATGATAAACAATCACGTATGCATTTTCTGATCATTTTCACATATTGATAGACAGTAGATGTCACAGTTGACCCAATCTACAGATAATGATAGCCATAGAGGATGGTAGGCACATGTACATGTAGATCTTACATGAATGTATGGCATGTGTAGGATCTACATTGATTTATGCTTAAAATGCTTTATCTGTTATGCGGGACATTTTTGTTCCCTTCTGTGTGAAAGGGCTCTCAAGATCAGAAATAGCGGGCTATTTGGCCAACTCGGGCTGATGAAAACAGGCCTACAGAGATTTTTATTCGCCTCAATCACTTTCAGATACAGTGCATGTTGCGGTAAACATGACAGGTTTTTATGATGACTTAATCAAGTGTAATAGACTTCACATTTCTGTATCTTATGACACAGAGTTCAGGGAATGTGCTTAGGACCTTTGTTGCGCTCAGTTACCATTTATTTGCGCATTAGGCTAAAAAAACAAAAAAAAAACATGTTTAGCGTCCTGTTTTTTTGAAAAATAGGAAGGAGGAGACCCTTTTTTTTTTTCCCCTTTCAAAATGGACGCTCAAAATGGCCGCTCGGTACATTTTCCCTGACAGTTGGGCTATTTTTCAAGATGGCCGCCGACATTTTTTTTTTTTTTTTTAAATCAGAAATACCGGTAGATCCATTTTACCAGTGTTTTTCATGTTATTTTTCTTTAAAAAAATTATTAACAAATATTAACAAAATTATAAAAAAAAAAAAAATAGGAGGCGGCCCCCTAAAAGGAAGCAGACGGGGACGCTAAATATGTATATTTTTTCAAATGGACTTAGAAAATTGTTGTTTTATTTGCTGCAGTTTACGGCATCATATCTGAATGAGCCTTTACATCACTAGATAGTACCGGTATGTCATAGCAGGCCTGTCTTCACTATCTTGAGATTGCCAAATATCCAGCTATTTGAACTATCCTGATCGCAAACTATCCAACTACTTTGCATTTTCATTGGACCGAAGTAGCAATTAGCGGGATATTCGGTCGGGATTGTCATCCCAAGGTATCTTGGGATAGTTTGCAAAATATCCCGCTATTTGGCAAAATATCCAGCAATTTGTCCTCTGCGTCTTCACCAGACCGAAGACTCGCACTATGCGCTAACGCTGAGCAAAATATCTCGAGCTAATTTCTCAAGGTCAAGTTTTAAGTTTCGAGGTCGAATCTCGAGAAGACGCGGTTTGTAACTTCGGGATTATTTCCCAAATCAGAAATAGCGGGCCATTTGGCAATCTCGAGCTGATGAAGACGCGCCTAGGGAGAACACAACCTGAACATTAATAAAAGCAATTGTGTTCTACTAGAGTGACACGGAGGTCCCAAGACCTTTCCTAGTAACTATGATCAATAGCCTCGCATCTGATGCCCATGCCATTAACCTTGGGTAGACATAGGCACATGAGGGTACTATCAGCCTCACATGCTCTTTGGTTTCACACAACAGACCGACCAGGGTGAACCAAATGTCAAGACATGGCTACATTTCTTTTACTGTTAAAAGGGTAGAGAAATATGTCGGCTCACATTTGTGTGGATCGTGTTTGTGTGATATATTGACAGATGGCCAGAATCCCACTCTTAATCTGCATACATCATTACAGACGGGAAAGTCATCTTCGTCTCTCTGACGCCTTAGGGAAGAGATGGGATGGGATGGGGTAGATTGTAACAATCACACCAAATCATACATGGTCAATTATATATGCATGATGTGTAAAGGCAGTCAGGTTGTGCACAAAGTAAAGATTTCAATAGTCCATAAATAGCATCTTAAGAATTAAAATTCAACCTCCTGCACCCCTAAGATGTAAAGAAGATTACAAAATCAGACAGGTTTATGAATAGAGTGAAATAAAAAAGAATGGATAACATGAAAACCGTGAAGTTAGGTATCAAAAGAGGCAATAGCCCCTGACTAATAGAATTTGGATGTGGACATAAAGGCCCGAATTCACAAAGCAAGGTTTGAGCTCAGACCAAGGTTTGACCTCAAACCTCCTTTTGTTTCGCCAAACCTCCTTTTGTTATTTACAAACCTGGTTTGTAAATAACAAAGGGAGGTTTGGCGAAACAAAAGGAGGTTTGAGCTCAAACCTTGGTCTGAGCTCAAACCTTGCTTTGTGAATTCGGGCCACAGTGATTAGAATTCACACACAAATGCAGACAATCACATGTAAAAGATGTAACTCCCTTCCCCCCTAGGCCCCAACCACATATGAATATATGGATTAATTGTATAGGTTTCTATTGATATGATTTACGGCTTTAGGAGTGTTACAGTTGGTCCATATACTATGCTTCAAGGTTTAATGCCGTCTTAAAGCCCCACTGTCCTACTTGTAGCTACTTGCTCCCTCTATATAGAAAACTTCCCCAATAGGTGCCTGTTGGTCCCCCATGATCCTCTTTTTCTTATGTTAGTTGAAAGCTGAGTTAATGAGATAGCCACCTGTCAGTGACCTCGCTGTGTGGTCTAATCCCTTCTGGGGGGTGTTTCACAAAGATCCTAAGTTGAACTTATCTCTAAGTTGGACTTAAAAAATATGGAAAGCCATTAGCATCTTTGAAAATATTTTGTAAAAGTTATTTTGAAAGGCATTCATTGTTTATTGAAATCATTCATATTTTCTATCATCAAGGAGATTTCATGTTCTGGATGTGGAATTAATAAAAAGTCTAAAATACTTGAATTTCTGCTTTTGAATATATTTCATTTAAAAACTCCAATGGCTGTCCATAATTTTTAAGTCCAACTTAGAGTTAAGTTCTACTTAGGATCTTTGTGAAACACCCCCCAGGCCCAGTAGTATTGACAGTCTTTAAAGGGAAATCTAACCTTCATAGCAAACTAATCTATAGGAGTGCAGAAAAATCAGAGAAGTAGCTGGCGAAAGTTTTAATGAAATCGGACAAAAAAATTGGAAAGGTATGAATTTTTAAAAGTTTTAATCACTATAATGTAAGTACGGGCTTATCAAATTGGCTGAATCGGTGATGTCTCTTTGATGTATTGGTGGACAACTTTCCCATTTGTTCCAACCTCTCCCCCACCACACCCCACCCCCCCCCCCCAAAAAAAAGATCCTGCCCTACAATCATTAGGGCGAGGAGAATATGTACAACATGTAGTTTATTCTACCTGTGCCAATGTAGAGTAACCACTCAAGGAGATGACATCATAATGAAAATGTTAAAGATGAAGTTGAGTTCTGGTCATGTGATTGCATTGTGAAAGAAACGGTGTGGAATCGACCAGAAAAGGTTGATCATCTAGCATACATGTACAGTATTGCAAGGTTCTGGAATCATCAAAATGATAAGAAATTTGGCCAAGTCTTGGTAAAGTTACAAACATTGTACACATAAGATGTATATGGGACTACACGAACATGTGGCGTTAAAATCCGTCCTGATTTTTTATGATGTTACATGACATATTTAGAATATGAAGGCATTTGAAGAGCCATGCTTTTCAGTGAACATGTTGTATCTGATGTTCTTCCACACTTGCATAATAACAATGGTAATGCTCACAAATTATTTTCACCTCTTCCCAGAACTCAACCTTCTCTTTAAGATACTGTTTCCATGTGTATGGCTTGCCTTGCAGGTTGCATGTGAAATAGGAGTAACTTTATCCTCAGATATTGCCCAAAGATGGCTCATGTTCATCAAGGTAACATGCGGCACTGCATTACTACGTTGTTATTTTGATATGTACCACAGCTGTTAGTAAAGTACAGAAATTATTAAGTGCTATTGAAATATGATGCTAGTTTTAATACATATATAGTACAAAAAGCAGGTACATGTGCGGTACATCTTGGAAATGTATCGGTAGAAATAATGATCCCATAAATCATATGCATAATTTCATCTGTAGATATTTTGCCCCTTGTATGTACCAGATTTAAATTATATTGTGTCTATTTTTCGATATGAATACAGGGAATAATTTTCCTGGTATCGCATCGCAATTTGCTATGCATTTTTGCATGACTGCTATACAAAATATCTTTTGTGTAGCAGTTTTCTTCCATAGAAATGTACAGAATTTCATTTTAAATATTCATCCATCGGCTGAAATTGCTAATCAAAAAATTTGAGGAAAATTATTCCCTGGAATATGCAGTACATATGGAACTGAGAATTGTTTTTTTACAATTTAAGGTTGACAGTCATGAATTAGATACCATTAAATTGATTTAATATTAGGATCTTAGCTCCTGTATGAAGGAACATTGATAGTCCACTACAAATGTGTAGGTTTTCATGTACATGTACATGTATGTCCTTAGCACTAGCAGTCATTTATAGACAAATTAGTAATATTCAAAATTAGGATTAACCACAATACTATTGTTGTTATAGATCCAGTATAACCCAAACGATATTGTTGCATTGATAAATATCACCTATGATGACCCATAAGTTATTGTCTTGTCAAAATCACACAATTTTGCCAATTCTCTCAGACATGTCCTCACGACAATGTACAAATTGATTCCTGCAGCAATTCACCTTTAATACACCCATTATGTGGCACATGTACATGTATGTATGCTGCCATGACTGGCGTAAATATTTACTTGGTATGAACATGCAGTAATGTGCCACTGACTTGCTGTCCCATTAACACCTAGCAAGCGATTGGTTATCATCCAGGGGTCAAATGAATGTCAGATTCGCATTGCTAGAGGCACCACTGCAGTAAAGTGATAGCTCTATGTGATCACCCATATCATTAGGAAGGAATAAAAATGGGAATCTTCTTCATGCACGCTGCTTCAAAAGAACGATCTCTGTTTGTCTATGATAGCATCCCCATATATTTCAACCTGCTCCGAGCGGGAAATTTAAAGCTTATGAATATTAAAGTGTACTGTCTTGAAACTCTTGTTATAAAGTAAACCTGTTTGTTTGTGACAAACCTTTATCAAACATTGAATGCAAGCATTCGATTACAGCAATGAATTGAAAGCCAATAATTTGACATGTGTGATGTACATGTACATGTATGTAATGAATAACTAGTAATGAATTCTCTTCTTTTAAAGTAGTCCTATATTACATGTATACATTCTCTTTTTGTCGTACATTATGATAAAGATGCATCATATGAAGTTTTTCTGCTAGCGGAATATTGAATGTATAAGAATTTAACAAAAATTATTCACATTAATCATACTATGCGATCAACTTGTTTACAATCTATAGGCAGATGTGTCGTATATGAAGACAAATCTTATTGATAGCCTTAATTTGGGGGGCTTGTGTCACAGATTTATTGTAAAATTCATCAGAGATCATGGCTGGTACATGAAATTATCATCTTAGATAACTTTTGATGCAAAAAGAATAGTGTGAGGCTATACTTCACACGTTTCTTTCCAATTATTTGTTGTTGTTGTTATCATTACTGAATGCTGTCTTTGAGTAAATTAAACCGAAGGCACTCTCAAAGCGCTTTACAGATATATATATATATTATTACCCCGGTTATCGGATTCAGGCTTACCCGCACACAATGTATGCACATTCTCCACTCCTTGGGGAGCATTCCAGCCAGGTTTCATTTTTACAAGCGCACACTTGCTAATCTAAGCACATTAGCTTTTGCATCCTACCGGGTACCAATTTAACACCTGGGTGGAGAGTGGCAAATGTAGATCAATGTCTTGCCAAAGGACATTAGTGCCGCGCTGGGACTTGAACCGCAGACCATTACCTTTCATTCAGCTAACTACTTTCCTGATATAGTTTTGTTAATATTGATTTTCTGTTTCCTTCTTTCTACTTTGATGTTTGACACAGCCGATGACCTTAAAGTTGCACGTGTTCATGGAGAAGACAGCTATGTTTGTGATCAACCATGGACCACAGATGGAAATCATCGTCAAGACCAAACAGGCCAACAATCCACAGTTTGATTTCCTCCAGTTTGACCATTTTCTCAACCCTTACTACAAACACATACTGGCGGCCATTAAATCAAAGATGTACATTCCCCTCATGCTCCGAGCACCTGAACCAGACAAGAAAAAACAAGGTGAGCTCACTCAAATTTGTTTCTGTTTTTTTCCTTCTATTTCAGAAAAAGTCTGACATTTGGCCCCAAACTTAACTTGTTCCAATTGGTCATGTTTATGAATAGTGATTTCTTGCAGTGAGTCCCGTACGACAAATACCGGTCTTGTATTCTCAAAATGAAAATATCTTGATATGACCATAGCTTAATGGTTATTCTTAATGTCAAGGGACTGTTCAGTATTTTATGAAATAGATGGATAAAGGTCATGTAACGTGTAGTATGGAACACATTGCAGAGAATTACCAAAGAGAGAATTAATTTAAGCTCACCTATAGCATAAATTAAAACGTATAATAGAGCTTGGATGTGCTCAAACATCAACTAAAATTTTCACCTCAAAATCAAATGTTGCATTCAGTTTTGAAATAGATCATTATCTGTTGAGGAAGTTGTTGTACTGAACAGCATGTATGTGGGTCACAAGAGGAACAGGTTCCCTGGACTCGCAGGTCTTTCCTCTGAAACAGGAAGGTGTGCAAGTGGAATTAAATTAACTGCCTACTATCATTTGTTTGTGTTTTATTAGAGTACAACACCATACCACCGGTAGTTTACTAGGCAACTGCAATCTTTTCATGATTCATGGGAAAGTAGATTGAACCATATTTGTAGTTTGGCATTAAAGATAAAGTTGAGTTCTGGGGGGTGTTTCCACAAAGATCCTAAGTTGAACTTATCTCTAAGTTGGACTTAAAAATCATGGAAAGCCATTAGCTTCCTTGAAAACATTTTGTAAAAGTTATTTTAAAAGACATAAAATGTTGATTCAAATCATTCATATTTTCTATTATCATGGAAGATTCTATGTTCTTGATGTGGAATTTATAAAAAGTCTAAAATACTTGAATTTCTGCTTTTGAATATATTTCATTTTAAGGCTCCAATGACTGTCCATAATGTTTAAGTCCAACTTAGTGTTAAGTTCTACTTAGGATCTTTGTGAAACACCCCCCTGGTCGTGCTATCGGATTGTGAAAGAAACGGTGTGGAATCGATCAGAAAAGGTTGATCATCTAGCATATAAGTATTGGTGTGTACTGCAAGGTTCTGGAATCATCAAAGTGATAAAAATTTTGGCCCAGTCTTGGTAAAAGCAACAAGCAAGTTGTATATAGAAAGATGTATAGGACTACATGTGGCATAAAATGTCATCATTTTTAAGCTGCTGCATGACATATTTAGAATATGAGGGCATGTGAAGAGCCATGCTTTTCAGGGAACATTTTTTCTCTGATGTTCTTCCACACTTGCAAACAACAAAAAAACGCTCACAAATTATTTTTCTCTCCCCAGAATTCAACCTTCTCTTTAATCTTAATGGTTTCCAACTTGGAAGTTTACCTGGTAGTAGTTAATGCAAATATTCACGAGTTCACACAAATGCTGTTACTTTATGTAGCCAGGGCTTGACACTAACAGGTGCCCGGGACACATGAACGCCCAAAATTCAAAATAGGACCCCCAAATGTTTGAAGTTTTTACAAGGGGCTCAAGCATACAGATAGTAAAAAGTACAATCTGGACCCCCTCCTAAAAAGTTAGTGTGTAGCCCTGATGTAGCAATTGTCATAGATGAACTGGCCTCCATCATCTAGGCAAAACAGATTTAGTTAGTAAAATATGGTTCACAGATATTTATCAATAATGAAGAAAAAAACTTGTAAATTGCATGAAATGGTATCTGGCAGCCTTCAATTAAAAATACACTCAATTCACGTACAATATACGGTATTCAGATCTACATGTACAGTCACTGCTGCCTACAGAATAGAAATGTAATCCTTCTTCCATGAGCACTGTCTGATATAAAAAAAAATCAAACTGTTTCCACATACATGTAATTCATTTTGTTCACCCTTTAGCACAATTTTTTTTTTTTTTTTTTTTTTTTTTTTTTTTTAAACTTGAAAAAAGTGAGGGGGAGGGGGGGGGGTTAACCCCCAAATCATCCCCTGTGTACGTGCCTGCATGTACCAGTAAGGTTCATTGACAATAGGGACTTTTAGATTTGCGTGGACTGATACGTGTGATTCAAGGCAGTGCATTAAAAGGACGTGACGCTCGAAAGCAAACAGAACAATTACATAAAGTGTATGGTTCCTTGTCCATGCATTTAACGATGCTTGATTTGTTTAATAGACATGATTGCCTTGTCTGCCCTTGATTCAAGCTGAACTTTGGATTATCTTTTGACATGTGTGGGTGGCATACATGTATACAACTTTGGTTGTTTTGTTGTTGCATTTTTTTGATTTTGCAAGGAACATTTGTAGGAAAAAAGAGAAGAAGAAACTATGAACATGTATGAAACATTAAAAATAAACTTGAGTTCTGGTAAAAAAAGAAAAATGAATTCTCACAGAATCAAATGAAACTTACACTGAATGTTCAAGATTACAAATAAATGTCATGTGCCAAACAATTTTGGAAGAAAATTTATACTGGCTGAGTAATGAACATAGAAAGGTAAGGAAATCAAGGTATAGTAGCCCCGACACCATTTGTCTAGTCCCATATTTTCTGTGTACAGTGCTTGTTACTTTACCATGACTGGGCCAAATTTATTATGATTTTGATGACTCCAGAACCTTGCAGTACACACCAAAACATCATGCTACATGATTAACTTTTCTGATCCATTCCACACCTTTTCTTTCACAATGCAATCGCATTACCAAAACTTTAATTATTAAATAAAGTGTCGGTTTATTGCCACGCATTGTTGTATAATGAAACACATCGATGCATTTGACCATGCATGGTTTCTTTGATAGACATGATTGCCTTGTCTGCCCTTGATTCAAGCTGAACTTTGGATTCATTGGAACAGCTATATTTTGACGTGTGTGGCATATTAAAATTACTTCAATTTTTATAGTTCTGATGCAGAATTTGTTTAATTTTAATTTTTTGGAACGATAGTGATTTGCTTTTTCATCGATATGGAAAATATCAAAGGATTGCCATAGAAATAGAAGTCAATGTGTGTTATAAAATTACTGCATCTAATGGATGTCAGGTAACTTTGAACTACATATATGGCTTCATGAGATGCTGCCTTCCATTCCATTTCATACAGTAAAGTCCTTTCTTGAAGAGATTCAATAGGTACTCTGGACAGAGTTATAGACCTCTATATTAATTCGAGACACAATACATGTGCCTGGAAGCAAGCCAACAAATGGCATATCATTACGAGGTCTCTCCTGTTAAATGTTGGATGCAAAGGTAAACATTGGCCTTCCTTTCTGACGTATGTTTAGATGGCAATGTCTCATTATTCAAGACTGCTTATTTGGGTTTATCATTAAAGGGGCCATTCCATGAGAAGAAGGACATGACATCAAAAAAAGAAATGTACCTCTTATGTTAATTCTTTGATTTATCACTAACCTTATGCCATGGATGTTCATAAAACATTAGGACCTTTCAAATTCAATACAATTTATTTTTCATTTTTGTTGATTTCCTAAGATCTCAAACCATCATCAAAAACGTACATGTGGGACTGTAGATGAAAAAAAAAAAAATTATTGCAGATTACACAGGATTCTTGTAATATTTTTTCCTGAAATTTTCGCTAAATTGAAAAAGATGAATATATTTCCATATTTTAAGCCTTTTCTAAGGGGTCCTGGGATATTTAATCTATTACATACGGGTGAAAATGGCCTCCGGACAAAATGTAACGCGAGTTACCGTAACGTGAGTTACCGACATATTTGCTTCCTGCATTTTACTAGTCCATTGTTTCTTATCTTTAATATTGTGATCTTATACTAGTAAGTCACAACCTACTATCAACGTAGGAAAGATTTTGTCAAGATTGTCTAGTATGAGGAGACTTTGCCAAAAGAGGGTCTCATAGAATTGACCATGTCCTTTTTTTGTAACGCGAGTTACCAAAATTCAATAATCCAAGAATCTAAAAATGTTTGTTCTTCAATTTTCTTTTTTGTTTCATTCAGTTGTTCTATATCTACCCTGTCCATGTTTGAAAAAAGTATCTTGTAGATCCTAGCAGTTCTAAAGATATAGGCACATTATCGTGTCAATGTACCCATTAAGTGTAACGCGAGTTACCATGGAATGGCCCAAAGGGAGCTTCTTCATTTATGTTCTACAACCTTTCCCTCTCACAAGCTTTCATGTTATAATATCAAGAGTTCTTTGGTAGTTCCTATACATGAATATGGATAGACATTAAACAAGTAGATTCATTGCCAAGTTAAAGACAAAGTTGAGTTCTGGTCATGCGATTGCATTGTGAAAGAAACGTTGTGTAATCGATCAGAAAAGGTCGATCATCTAGCATATTAGTATTAATGTGTACTGCAAGGTTCTGGAATCATCAAAAATGATAAGAAATTTGGCCCAGTCTTTTCCAGATTTTTTTTTTTCTTCCCGATTTAAAAAAAAAGGAAAAAAATCCAGATTTTTTTTTCCTTTTCCCTATGTTATTCTGATTTTCCCAATTTCCCCCTTATTTTCTCTATTCCTCCCTATTTTGCCTTATTTTTTTTTTTACTCGAAAGGGGGGAAATGTTGTTAGATGCCATTTTTTCCCCCCGCGAATCCTCTTTTTTTTTTTTTTTTTTTACTGAAAGGGGGCGTGGTTGAGGGGAAAACAAAAAGTGCTCACTATCACCCCTGATATAGGCAAATTTTTTATTTGAAAAATGGGTACCTCCAACTTATTTGCATAACTTTTGGGCCTGGAAAATTGAATTTGGCAAAAACATATGGGGGAAAAAAAATCTATGAGGGTGCCATTATTTTCAAATGGGCACAATGAGCCTCAGGGGCTACATTTGAGGTGATTCAACATCCAGGTGTGCTAAGACCATGTTAAACTAACTGTGTGTCATATTTGGTGCTTTTATTACAAAACGCACAATTTGATGCTATGCCACCCCACTAATAGCACCTTTCAAGGATGATGTTGCAGCTAATTAGCCTACAGCTAATATATCTATACAGTAGGCTTACGGTCGCACCATGTGAGCGAGTGAGGGGGGAGGATTGGGGAGTCCTGAAAGGAACTGTCGTTAATCTTTCTATCTTGAGCGTGTGTGTAGTCCTGAAAAGGACTGTTGGTAGGTTTGAAAAAGACCGTTTGTAATCTTTCTTGAGCTTATAGTTCCAAGGAGAACTATAGCGCCGGTTGGAGAGGATAGGTAGTAGTAGTGGCTGGACAGATATATTAAGGTCTTCTGCTACATGTACATCACAACCTGTGGGCAAAACCATGCAAGCCGATACCTATAAGCAGCATCTAATATAGATCTAGTTTGACATACTTATGGTGAACCTGTCTTTATAGGATTTGAATACAATGATACGAGTACCGGTATCTATTCAGACACCCTTTGAATGTTATTCTTCATGGTTGGATGCAGCTCTTAGCAAGCGAGGTCAGAGATTGAATTATAATTTATGGCAGATATTTCTCCCACATTATGCGCTTATACTCCCAACAAAACATTTCATGATTTCTTTGTGTTTTTGTGTGTTTTATAGCCATTGGTATTTTAGTGTTGTTTATAGAGGCAGTGAGGCATTTTAAACATATTACCTGTAATCATTTACGAGACCTTTTCCTAATAGAGTCCTTGAAAAATTAAAGCGATATATGTGACTGTGTTATTGCAATAAAGATATCAGATGCTTTTGATAACACAAAAAAACAAAGATAGCAACAACAAGAATAACAACAAAACAAATACAGAAATCTATCATTGGATAGATACATGTACATAACATTTTTACCAGGCCTCTGAGATCTACTGTACTGTATGTATTTTATGTTTTTTTTATTTTGTATAATGAGCCTAGGATTTTATTCACATCATGCAATTCTCAAGATTATTGTGTAAATGATTGATGAAACCTATGATTTTCTTCCTATGTTAAAGGGAAACTATACAGAGAAAGCAGTAATAAAGGCATTGTTAATTTGTTATGGCAATGATGGAAATCACATCTAGAGGCTTGAACTGTTGACATCTTTGTTATAAAAGAATTTATTTCATATTTTGTTGCACAGGGGAGATTGGTAGCAGGCGTAGCAGTAACAGTAACAGCATACAGAGTGACGATGAAGATGATGATTTAGAAGGGAGTGGCTATCTTCACCCTAGTCTCTTTGCCCCGCCCAGGCCCAAACCAGCTGCCTCATCAGTACAGGTATGCAATAGGGAAGTCGAAGAAGAGATTATTATCTTGATAGCTTCCCACTATATGGAATGAATAAACTGCTCCGAGAAAAATTGAATATACAAATTTACCGGTAAATTTTGATAAATTTCAAATAGTGCCTAAGACCATACGATGGTAGCTGCGACCATAAAAATCTCAGAATATGTAGTTGTGATATATATATTCCAAAGGGTTATGGCAAATCGGTCGATTTTATTCAAAGAACATTGTTTAATAGCTAAATTGATATATTGACCTTGAGAGGGGGCTATACAACATAAATAGTTATTATTTACATTTTCATCACTTTAGACTTGAATTCAACCGCGACACCGATCACTGAAAATTGTAGGATCGCCTATGCTTCCAACTGTTCATTTGAACCAAATTCATGACCCCATACCAAAATTTGTATTACCTTTAAAAGAAAAGACCATCCAGAGTTGTACATTATAGAAGAAAAAAAAAAAGACATTTTAGTCATTTTGTGTCTGGGAACAAATGGGAAAGTTGTCCGTCCGCCACTATATCAAAGAGACATTACCGACTGAGCCAATTTGAAGAGCCCATACCTATAAAGATTGTAAATTCAAAAATTCATAGCTTTCTAATTTTTTTTGATATTATTTGTCTCAAGTTTGTCATGTGATATTTAGTGTATTAATACTCTTGTATTTGTTTTGGTTAGCATCCTCCTCCCAGTGCGCCTCACCCTGACAACATTCCAGCTCAGCTTGGTATCCAGCATGGGGAACCCCCCTTTCACATGATGGATCCACAACAACAACAACAACAGCAACCACAGCAACCACAGCAACTCATGGCATACTATGAGGGGGAACCAGTCACCACCCGTGCACACTTCCATCTACCCCCTATGCTGGCCCCTCCTCCCCCACCCTTAGAGCACACCAACTCAGGTCAGTGTCTATGCCCTGGAGCTAATCTCAACTCCTATGATGTATGTGCATAATACTTTGGGGTTATTTGCTGATTTTGGCGCAGGGGCAGGGGGGAGAAGTAGCAGGTTTTGATTTACCAGCATATTTCAGATGACATTGTCAGGGGTTTTGATAGGCTACCTTTCTTTTCATGAAATAATGTTGAGAGATGATATGTTGTTTTGCATTCTGTTAGAGGGGCATTAAAACTTTTGGGAAATGATATTTCCTTGTATTCGTAGAATATCTTGACTATATTTCAGTGTGGGTGGGTACAACCCTCTCAGCTGAATGTGACAGCAGTAATGATTGCAGAGAAAGTACTGATAGATGGGAGAAAGAACAAACACAAAAATGCAATTAATATCTTAGCACAGATTAAATTTAGTTTCAGAAGGATTGATAATGAACTAATCACCTAGTTTTCTGTCTTTTTACTGAAAATTAGGTGCCCCCGTTCAGCTGAGCCACCCAATTGGACAGCTACCCCCTCCAGGCTTCCTACCCGGGGTCGGGGAGCCGGGTCCCCTACCAGGCCAAGTCATACCCCATCACCACCCTGCCTTATCTATACATGATAGCGCTCATCCTCTTCCACCTGCTTCTATGCTGGGACCTCCTCTCATAAGCCAGGAATTAACCATTCCACATGCTTCGGATGAAAGGTAGGTAATGCACACATTGAAGGATATCTCACTTGTAACTCACTTGATCCAGGATTATTCAGTCTTTAGACTGTTGTTTCTATCAATGGTTTCGTTTGGTTGGGGTTGTCATCATATTTATCTGGGGCATCTTTCCACCATTTCTCAAGCCCAGATTTGAAACTATTGATAGTGGTACTCTCCACAACATCACCTGGAAGACCATTCCACACATTGATTATTCTCTGGCTGAATGAGGTTTTCCTCAGTGTCTTCCGGCATTTTAGCTTGTAAAGCTTAAGTGAGTGACCACGTGTGCGACTGCACTTTGTTTTGCTAATAGAAATTTAATTTCAATGGAACAATATTTTGCATTCGGTGAAAGATGAGACACTCCATTCTACTCGGCTGCGCCTCGTTGAATATAGCGTCTCTTATCTTTCACCTCGTGCAAAATCTTGTACCATTGCACTCATGGCCACTCACTATTTGTATACCATTGAATCACCAATCACCATACAATTCCACCATTGAAACACCATTCACCTTACAGACGTCACCATTGAAACACCATTCACCATACAGACGCCACCATTGAAACACCATTCACCATACAGACGCCACCATTGGCACACCATTGAAATACCATTTACCATTGACGCTACCATTCAAACACCATTCATTTACCATTAGGGTTTTTTGTAAGGGAAGAATTGCCTGAATTCTGTAGCCTTCCAGTGTGAAAGCTCATCAAGTCCCCGTGGTTTTCTTGCAAAGAGGCTTCGGTATGTGTGTCCGCAATGCCACCAAGTTCTGTGAAATCAGTGCTACTCTTCTGGCCTGCAGGGGCTTAAACACCCTGGATTTCTTCCGAGTCTGCGTCTCATAAGTACCCTCTGTCCATATGTCCAATAATTTCTTCATCACCCCAGGACACAGCAGGTGCATATAAAGTTCAAAGTTCAAAGTTCAATTTATTTCTCCACAAATGCAAAACAAAGGGAACTACATAAAATAAAATACATACATACAATACAATAATAGAACATGTACAATATATTATATAGAACATCTCCAGTTGGAGCAATGTATGTTTTAAAAAGAAACAAATCAGCAAATGTGGAAGGGGAAGTCAAAAATCAAAAATGATTTGTTGAGGACTACCCCCATATAGTCGTGAGGAAAGGCAGATATCGTATTGATTGGGAGGTCACAAAAGATTGAGACTTCATTGTGGTGTTCTTTGCTTTCTTGGTTCCTAAAAGATTCGTCAGAACGCAATGGCCATTCTGTGTATAGGCCATTTTCGTAATGTAACCAAATTTAATGCATAAGTCTTTGTGAAGTGCCTCAATACAAATTATTTCATTTTCATGCCACATGTGTGTAATCTCATATACCCGTTTCTGTGTGTGGTGCATGTCATTTTCAATTCAATTCAATTCAATTCAAAAGACTTTATTTCCGTTAAAAAACATATATACATGTGATAAAGTACAGACAGTTTAAAATATACAAATTATGAGCATTGTGTTAAATTAATTTAAACAAACTGTGAAAATGAATAGAAGGAAAAGGGAGCACCTGTAGGAAGCTTATGTTAGCTTGTTGATTCAGGCGTCCAAATGAATAAAATAATTACACAGATATAATAACATAATACTGAGTATTGTGCATGTATTTGTTCTACCCCTCCCTCCCCATCCCACCCCCCCCCCCCCCATCACCACCTCCCCCCTCCCCCTTCTTTCTCTCTTATGGTAATTTACAAATTATATTTTCTTTTAATATAGGTATTAAACTAAAACAAATTATAGGGATAATAGATATATTTTAAGATTTTTCTTGAATGAGTTTAAGTAAACATATTGAGTGAGAGAGGATGGAAGAGAATTCCATACTGTGGGCCCTGCATATCTTACCGATTGTTGCATGTACTGTTTATCAATATTCCAAATGTGTAACTTTAGACTATTTCGAGTATTATATTTATGAATTTTAGAGTTATGTTGGTTGAGATGATGGTGCATTACCTTTAATACATTTGAATACAAACACAGCATTTTGATATTTATTTAGGCTATAAATATTGAGGGTATTTAACTGTCTAAATAAAGGTTTAGAATGGGCCAAATAATGAGAGTTTGTACAATATCGTAGACAATGCTTCTGAAGTAAAAATAAGGGTTTCAACTTAGAATGACTTGTATTTGCCCACACGATGTTACCATATGACAAATAAGAGAGAATGAGTGAATTATAAATCATAAACAATACATTTCCTGGTAAATAATACTTAAGCTTTGACAATAATCCTGTAGTTTTACTAATCTTTGTAGATATCATGGCAATATGGGATTTCCAAGACAATGTTTCATCTATGAGAATACCTAAAAATTGAATACTTGAGACTTTTTCAATAATTGTTTGATCAATATATAATGATGGAACTTGATTTTTCAATTCTCTTTTGTTGCACTGAGCTGTTTTAAAAAGAATACATTTGGTTTTGTCTAAATTAAGCGATAGTTTATTTACCTTTAACCACAGAGATACATTCTTCTTTCTTGGTTCCTAAAAGATTCATCAGAACTAAGCCAGACTAAGTGAATTTCTTTTCATGATGATCAGTCATTGCCAAACCTCACAATATACATCAACTCTTCATAATAAACCTTTCTAATTCATTCCTGACAGTTTCTTTTACAATGTCATGACATAACCAGTTCTCAACTTTATCTTTCAATGTTGTGAGATTTACAAAGCACTAAGCACTGGAGTGCACTTGGTATTATATTGTCTGCTTGAGGGCCAGGTGGACTGGCCACTCCAGTGCATCCCTTATGTATCCAAAAGGAATTTTAGAACAGTTTCATGTATTTTCTAGGGATTTTCCTTTTTAGACTTTGCTCAAGAGGTGAGGAATATAATAAAATTAATAAAACTAATAAAATTCTTATTTTTTGTAGACATCACATCAATACTATCATATCATTTTGAAAGAGGGTCCACATTAGTGAGCTGTTTCTTTATTACATAGTGCTGCAATACTGATGTTGGTCTCCTGTTCATGTTTCTTTTTAAAATCTGAATTTGATACCATTATATGATTAGCCGATTGCACGCTAAGCATGTTTTTCACTTTTTTCCCCCAGCAATGTAGGGATGACTATATAAAGAAGTTTCTACGTTATGGTTATGCATGTATTTAAACTTCAAATGAACATTACACTTCTGACGCTATACGTAGCTTTTATGAATGGCAGTTTTCAGTATGTACACAAGCAATTTATTATTCTGTTTTTATTTGACCACTGCAGTGCAATCGAGCCCCAGCCACTCCCCATCGTCCCACCCCCTCCAGACATTCAGCCAGTCATAGACAAGCTGGCCAAGTACGTGGCCAAGAACGGAGATGAGTTTGAAGCCAGTGTCCGTGCTAAGTGCGACCCTCGCTTTGAGTTCCTTGTGCCATGGCACAGCTACAACGCTTACTACCTCGCTAAGAAGAAAATGTTTATCCAGGAATTCAATCAGGGTGTAGAGAGCGGCAGTGGAGAGCAGAAGAATGTAACCGATAAATCTAAGAAAGGTATGACAAGCTTGGCTAGTTTTCATGTGGTCCTGAGTCATACAGGTTTGAAAAATTGATTTTTTTTTTTTTTTTTTTTTTTTTTTTTATTTTTTTTTTTATTTTTTTTTAATTTTTTTTTTTTTTTTTTTTTTAGACACTTTGTATGTTCGTACAAATGGGAAAGTTATCCGCCACTACATCTCAGAGACATTACCAATCCAGCCACTTTGAAGAGCCTATACATGTAGTGGTTACAACTTTCAAAAAATCATAACTTTCTCATGTTTTGTCCGTTTTAATTCAAACTTTCATCAGTCTACTTTTCTGATTTTTCTAAGAGTTTCTTCCTTGAAATGCTAGAGCGTCGTAAAGGTAGCCGTGCTAAAGCCAGGGTAATAATCTCCCTCTACACCTCAGAATAGTTTACTAGATCGATGGCGCATAATAAATGCTGTAGTATTATTACTATCAAGGTTGGATTTCCCTTTAAAGGGATAGTTGAGTTCTGTTTTAAGACCGCAAATGTCTTCAAAGTGCATGTTTTTTGCTCTTATTCTTATCTGTGACATTTCTAGTGTCCTTTTAGAACCTAAAATTGCTAAGAAGGTAATTTTAGACCCCAAAATGTGTGAAATTTAGCCTATACGAGCATACCAATTCAGCTCCACCTTAAAAAAAATCACGGTGACCGATGATTGATTATTTAATTAAAAATAACAATACATGAGCCGGCTGGTTGTGCGTAATATAAGCAACACAAAAATATCAACAAAAAAACCTACATCGGCATTGGCTGACATACGATGTAAAAGGCGTTAATTACGTTTTTTCAACGGTTTTTTTCAAATTTTTCAAAATATCTGATATTTGTGGTGGTACACAAGTATTAGAAATCGTTATATTTCAGCCGTCTCTGAACCGATTTTGATCAAACAAAGATGATTTTGTCATTTAAATATTATGTTCTTTCAAATTTGACACTCAGTATTTCATTATCTCACACAAAAATTATTTTGTGTAGCGCCCTCTGCAACAGAACTCAACTATCCCTTTAAGCTCATCCCTATATTGTATAGTGGTGTAATTGTAGGGCATAAACAATTTTCAGATGAGCCTTGCTGATTGATTGATAAGATTCTCTTGTAAGGTTTCTGTCTGTTGATATCCAACCATACAGTGCCTGTGCGGTTTCCTATCAAGCCAAAGAAAGCTGAAGAGCGAACGCTAGAAAGAAAGAGCGCCCTCCCTGTTGAGAGCAGCAGCAGTGACTCTGACGGAGACCAGGAGGACTCCAATCAAACTACCTCAGCAACCTATCCTCAAGGCCAAGGCCCAGGCCGCAAGCTCTCAATGCATGATGTACAGTACAAGGATATGATGGACTATGATGATAGCGAGCAACAGTACAGTGGGATGCAGTATGGTCCTCAGGGAGCGGGGAGTCAGTACGCCACCGGGGAAGGGGATGCTTTGTATCCTAATCAGGAGTATGAACAAGATGAAGCTGATGATAGAGGGATGGCCGAATATAGCAGGGAGCATCAGAGAACTGGGGGTGAGTAATATAATTCTCTTTCTGTTGCTTTATGAATCAGGCATTTTTTTATTAATATAAGATACTCCATAAATTGATCCAAAATAGTGCTTACTGTAGTTGGAGTGTCATGGTCGAGTGGTTTAAGGCGCTTGACTGTAGATGCGAAGGTCGAGGGTTCGAATCCCGACACGGCACTAATATCCTTTGGCAAGATATTAACCTACACTTGCTACTCTCCACCAAGGTGTTAAATGGGTACCCGGTAGGATGCGAATGTTCATGTGGTTGGACGAGCAAGTGTGCGCTTGTAAAATGGCGACTGGCTGGAATGCTCCCCAGGGAGTGGAAAATGTGCACATATTGTGTGCGGGTAAGCCTGAATCCGATGACCGGGGTAATAATATATCTGTAAAGCGCACATCGTTGGATCGGTGTATTGAGCGCTATATAAAAAACGGATTATTATTATATATTATTAGATTTCTTGGCATTATACTCAATGTATGTAGGGAAAATGTTCTAATGTGTGAAGTTTCTATAGCAGGGCATTTGAAGACTCTTTAGCATAAGCGAGAAAAAAAATAATGAAACAGGTTCAGCACAAATCTATGCAAATGTGTGGAAAACTGTGTGTTAAAGGGGAAACCCACCCTGAAATATGAATGGAATAGGTCAGCAAAAGTTTCAGCAAGTTCCAATTTGAAATAAGAAATTGTGACCTTTTAAAGTTGGGATCAATCAAACTCTAATTGGCAACTCTATGACATATCGTCCCTGTTTTCACGAAGTGACGGTAGTGAGGAAAATCATAACGCAAAGTGAACGCGATTTTTATTCACTACCGTTACTTTGTGAAAATAGGGACGATATCTTGCGAGGTTCCCTCCCATTTGCTCTGTACAAAAAAAAAAAAAAAAAAAAAAATTAAAATCAAAAATATATTTTCCCTAAAAAAACAAATCTTACTTTTACCCTTAATATAATTGCAATTATGTTCCCAAATAAACCCTATGTGAACAAATCTGTTCCGTCATCAATAACTAAGAAAATGAAACTTTATGAAATTTCTGTACAGAGCAAATTGATGAGGACCTCGCAAGATACGTCACAGTCTTGCCAATTTGTGTTTCACTGATGGCAACTTGATAGTGAGAATTTTGCAACCCCCTTCTTCCAACCCTGCCTGATTCTCTCAGACAGTAAGCAAATAATTACCGTTGATGAAGGTGAGGGACAAACTATCACTTCCGAGGCGATCTGGATGTAGCTATAAGGTGTACATTCAGATGTACTTCGAGGAAGTGATAGTTTTCCATGGCCTGAACCCAAAAGGTGATTATTTGCTTTATATTCCACATCAGAAACATTTCACTTCTTTCGTCATTTAAGAGCAACAAGTCATCAATTAACAGCTACATGTAGCAAACGGTGTACGATACGTACAGTGCATGCATCACTTAGGTACGTACGTATACAACAATGTATACAACCTTCAGTGAGAGTGCGTTGCACTGTGTAGATAGTACTTCTATCTAAACAGTGCAACAAACTTTTCTTCTCCCATCAATGATGGGCAAACTTTATTTCATCACATGATTTACTTTTGACCAATCGTAGCGCAAGATTCTTAGTATGTGGAATATAATAGCTCTTAAAGGCCCACTGCACTACTTGCAGCTACTTACGCCCGCTATATAACAAACAATGCCTAATCGGTGACCATTGCTCCCCCATGATCCTCTTTTTCTTATGTTAACTGAGAGCTGAGTTGATGAGATAACCACCTGTCCAGTGACCTTGCAGGGCAGTCTAATCCCTCCTATAAACTACGGCAGATGAGCTTTAACACCTATCCTTTGTTAATTTGAACAGGTAACCACCAGCGATTGGAAGACAGACTTGCCATGGCAGCTAGGAAGAAACTTGCCAGTGCTTCACAGGAGAGAAGTGTGCAGGTTGAGAGACGGAAAAAGCTAGCTCTCTTCCTCAGTCAAGTCAAGGATAGACCACAGGCTGCTGCTGCTGCTCAGGAGGGGGGCATGTCAGGTAAATATTATGCTGGTGGTGGGGATGATAGTGATGGTAATGGTAATAACCATGAGGCCCAAAACAAAAAGATGTTGTATTGCCCTTTAGGTGCCAAAACATGGGTCGGTCAGTCAGAAATCTTTCTTTTCTTTTTTTGACCTCTAAAAAAAAAAATTTGTACTCCCACTTTGGGCTGATATTTCTTAGTTTTGAATGCCATAATGTTTTTTTTCTTTCTAAAAAACAGAGAATTTTTTTTGTTGTTGTTTGTGTTTAAAGCCGACAGTAGATTTTTTTTTTTTAGGACTAATGGCGATAATGGCGATGATAATGATGATCATAAAAAAAAAGTATGTGCCGATACAAGTATATTTGATGAATGATGCTGATTTGTGCACTACCTTTCAGATCCAGAAAGGAGCTACAGGGAGGATTCAGAACGAAGCCACTTGCCCAGCAGACGGAGGTCACCCGTGAGGTCAAATCGTAGAGAGAGAACAGCAAGCCCGCCGTATACTGAGAGTAGAAGCAGTCGGAAAGCCCCCTCTGTGCCCAAATCTTATCAGACAGCTGTCAACAGAGAGCAAATGGAAAGGTGAGAGATCATTCATTTCAAGTATGGAAAGGATAGTGAGGAACCGTGTGTTTCAAGTGCAATTCAAAATAATATGATTGTATGATAATGGTAGGAATTTATAAATTGATGCTTTCAATGTTTAGGGCAGCTGCACTAAAGCCGGGCTAAAGTCAGGTTAATGATAGTATTTTGTAAGCGCTTTGAGAATCCTATGGGGTGGAATCCATGTGCGCATTATTAATGTAGCTATTATTATTATGTTGCTTATCAATGAAAAAACTATACTTGCTTTCTTAGCAGTCAGGTTATCAAATGCCAACATTTAATATGGTTATCATGATATTCATGTAGATAACAAACTCATGAACTCGTCACCTTTTACTATGCAGGGAGAGGAGAAGAAAGCGTCATTCCAAGTCTCGGTCTCCCTCCCCCAGGAAGATGAAGAGAAAGTCCCCTCCCCCACTCGGTGTGGGCACTTCAGCAGTAACTGGCAGGTCCAGGTAAGTGGGAGGGTGTTGGTATGATGTATTGCTCAAACTGATTTCATGCTCATTACTAATAAGATTGTTTTCAGATAAGGGTTTATGAAATATACAACGTAATGTCATATCATAAGTGATAAAAAAATAGATTTTTCATGGTAGCCATATCAAGTTTGATTCCTTACACCACAATTGTATGAATAAAGTAGTTTTCAATTATTCTACATGTGATGTACATTTATTAGATGAAATACATAAATTAACCCGATGAAAAGCATTATATTCAATTTTTGAAGCTCATTTACCATGATGAAAATAGAACATCCATCACATTATGACTCATTTCCTGCATGTAGACGTTTGGTAGTCAAGTGGTTTGAACTTGAGATGCAGAGGTGATGGGTTCAAGCCCCAGCACGACACTAGTGGCCTTTGGAGAGACAATGATCTACATTTGCCAGTCACCACCCAGGTGTTAAGTAAGGGTGTGGTTGGATTTGCAGGTGTGCATTTGTAGAGTGGTGCCTGGAATACTACCTTAGGGAGTGGAGCATGTGATCTAAGTGGTGCCTGGAATGCTCCCTTAGGGAGTGGAGCATGTGCACTATATGTAGATTAGGAAGTGTATCCAATGACAGGGTAATAATATTAATAATAATGTGAAGCACTCAGAAGCTTATTATTAACCGTTATACAAATGAATCTAGTATTAGTATTACTATATACTTATATACAGAGTTGACAAAAGACTTGACTCCGTTTCGTTGACGATCAGCCCTGCTCAAAGAAGACAAAAGACTTGATGCATGGCTGATCGTCAACGAAATGGAGTTAATTCCTTTGTCAACTTTGTTTGTTGCTACAGCAGGCAGCAAGTGAAAACGAATTTGTTTAATCAAATTATAGAAATGCAAGCATTAATTTAAACCAACAGAACTTTGTTATTCCGGGCTCATTTTTCCTGATTGAGGTGTCATATGAAAGGGCAGAAAATGAACTTTCTAGAAATTTGATTTTCTCTTTGAAATTCAGATACCGCCCCAAAAATGACTTTTCAGTTTCCTCTCTTCAAGTTTTTTTTAATCACTCACGCGTGGAATATGCATCATGCGAGTTGCATCAAAAGAAAGAGGAGGATCTAAGCTTTACAAATATGTGTCATTTATTAATTATAATTGTGATTAAGTTATGATAAACAATCGATAATTCTTGGTTTTGTTTTTTTCAGGGACGTATTGTTTAACATGATTAACATTGCCTCACATAAAGAGCCCTGCTTGTTTAATTGGTATTGTTGGATTCTTGTTATGTTTTAGTCCTACATCATCTCCCACATTGGAGCCATTCCAAGACAGAGAGGCATCGGTATCTTCACCCGGCAGTGATTCAAGCTCAAAGATGGGCAGGTATGAACATTCTCTCTCACTGAGTCAATGTATACCATGAATAACATGGTCTCATTAGAATAGCCATACAATCAAAACATAGAGGTGTCGTGGTCGAGTAGATATGTCACCAGACTGTGGATCACAAGGTCGGCGGTTCAAGTCCCGCCGTGGCACTAATGTCCTTTGGCAAGACATTGATCTACATTTGCCACTCTCCACCCAGGTGTTAAATGGGTACCCGATAGGATGCGAAAGCGAAGGTGGTTAGATTAGCAAGTGTATGCTTGTAAATATGGCGCCTGGGTGGAATGCTCCCCAGGGAGTGGAGAATATGCATACATTGTGTGCGGGTAAGCCTGAATCCGACGACCGGGGTAATAATGTATTTCTGTAAAGCGCTTTGAGAGGGCCTGCGGTCCTGAAAAGCGCTATATAAGAACAAAATATAATTTTAATTAAAACGCCTTACCCAAAATTGTTTTCAACTTACCCGGGGAAATAACTTTCTACATAGTAAAACAAAAAAAAAAAACATTTTGTCAACGTGTCATTGTAATCACGATCTCAGCTGTTGTATTCTTTTTGGCCACCAATAAAAATTGATCTTATTATTATGATGTACCTTTGTTTTGTTTTCAGTCAACTGAACACCCAACCAAGTGGATCAGAAACCAAAGCAGATACTAAAGGAGGTGCTAGTGTGAGTATTGTATTGTTTTGTATTTATTTTTCGTCAATTAAAAAAACATCAACAAATATACATTTACAATCATAAAGACACACTTATAAAAAGGAAGACAGAGGGATGGCCCTACTCAGCGTTATTAGAATAACAATATTGTTTTACATATAAATAAATAGTACAGGAGTAAGGAAAAACTTACAACAAAAATAAGAACTTACAATAATGACAAGAGTGCTTGGAGTAAAACAAGGAAAAGGAGAGAAATATTTATGATATAAACAAGAGAAAAAGTTAAACAAGTAAATGAAAAAGTAAAAAAATAGCTCACATAATATTAAGATACCTAAACAGCTGTAAGAAGTCTGGAATAATATTGTTTAAATACTTTCTGAATGTGTTAACAGTTTGAAGTAATTTTGTGGTATAAGGAAGAGCATTATATTGAATTGAGCTTCTATATTGAGTAGTTCGTCGATAATATTCAGTTCTAGGCTTAGGGAGAACAAAGTTACCGGAATTGTGGAGGGAATAAATATGAGAAGGGGGTTGAAACATTTCATTCATACTAGAAGATAACATATTATGGACTGATGTACAGACAAATACATTACATTTTTTCATACCTCTGGATTCAAGAGATGACCATTTTAAAAGTGAATGAATTTGTGCATTAGAGATGTGTTCATAGGTATTAACTTTCATTATTATTCTGCCTGCGCTTTAAAGATCAATCACTTTAAAGATCAAGTTACAAAATTGATCAATATGGACATCCCACTTAGTCTGCTGTCGATAATAAATCCAAGATATTTATACACTGTCAGACTGTTGTATTGCAATATCATTAATATATATATTTAATTTATTACATTTACTTAGCATATGTCTCGCACCTATGAGTAAAGATACAGTTTTATCAAAATTCAGTGTTAACTTATTATAGCACATCCAATTATAAGTATATGACAAGTTATGATTTAGTTTATTTTGAACACTTTCCACATCAAAATCTGAAAAATAAAGAACATTGTCGTCTGCGTAAAGTTGAAATGAACAATAATGTGTATACTGAGTCAAATCATTGACAAAAATAATTAAAAGCAAAGGCCCCAAAAATGGAACCCTGCAGTACACCAAATAAACGGGCAAATGAGTTGAAAGAGTTGAACCAAAATAAGTGGAAATAAACCTGTTATGTAAATAATCATTAAACCATGGCAAACATTCTTCAGTATACCAATATTGCATAGCTTTTTTTGAGGAGCAAGTCAGGATCAACGCAATTGAATGCTTTTTTAAGATCAATAAACACTGCTCCTGTATATTTTTCCTGATCAACAGCGTTCATCCATCTATCTGTAATTCTAACCAAAGATGTTAATGATGAGTGTTTACTCCTAAACCCAAATTGTTCTACTGATAAAAGTTTATTTTCTTCTAAAAACGATACTAATTGCCGCTGAACAAATCTTTCTAGCAATTTTGATACCGTAGGTAATATTGAAATAGGACAAAAGTTATTTGGGGAATTTTTGTTGCCATATTCATGAATAGGAATGACTTTTGACCTTTTGAAAGCTGTATGGACTGCAAAGTTGTATAGACTACAAAGCTGTATTGATGACAAGAATTGTATCCATCAAGGTGTTGAATGACAGTTAATCACTTAGAATTAGTCCCCTCTAACATTTTCAGCAGAATGCTTTTTGGGGTATTGAAATTGTCTTTTTTATTTTTTTAGTCACTTCAAGGTACATTGATATATTTGACAAATGATTCAGTGAAAATGAACATTTGATTACATAATGCATTGAAAATTATTCAACTTATTAACATATCAAATATATTTCTTCACTTATCTGACAATGCTTCTTGGCTTATACTTTTGCATTAAATGACTCATAATGATTATTTTTCTTGCAGGATTTGCGAGCCAAGATACGTGCAATGCTGGCAGCGACCATGAATATGAACAAAGAAGACATTGGATGATATTGGTTCAGTCAGCAAAGAAACGTTTGTGGAAAGAGCTGCAAATGGAACTAACGTTTGAATGATATGGAGGAAGAAATCTCTTTGAATGCTAGGATGCAGAAGACAGTGTGAAAGGAGTCCACTTTTCATTTCCATAGGATGACTGAGGCAGTGCTTTGCCCTTGATAATCCTATGGATCATAAACCAAGCCGAAATATCAAGCCCTTCAGTGTAATAGAAAGAGGAAATGACTATGTGAGTTGTGCTATCTGAATGCCATGAGGAGAGACACCAAAGGATGGCTCTAATACTGAGATGTAATATTTAAACTATTGAGGACTCTTTTGGTTAAACTCTCCTATTTATTCACATTGTTTTATCTTTCTTTCAAAGATCTTCCTTCTCTTTAACTTTTATTTAAAAAATCAAAACAACAAAGAGAAAAGAAAAAAACTCAGGGACTTTCTTTGATTATTTTCAGTGTGTGAATAACAAACAAACAAAAAAGTAAGAAAAGAAAAAAAATGTAGGAACATCCCTTTTACTGTGTGTGTGGATGGTCGTGTGTTAATTCCTGATGTGAAACAGGGTTGTTCTGACGTAGTTCGAAATATCCCGATGTGTTCCGCGAGATTGTTTCAATGTTACTGTTATCACCTATTGAAGAAAAGGAAGATCTGTGAAAGCTTTACACTTGAAGAAGTATCTTCAAGCTTTTAAACCCTTTCACTGCTGCCATTAACATTTTGAGATTGAGTTGTGTGTTATAAGAAACAGTTGTTGTATTGAGTAAGTTAAGGAGTGCATGTTTGTTAGGACAAATCTGCATTGGATATGTTATTTTCAATGTATATCTTTTAGAGTCAAATGCCATGATAACATTCATGTATTTCTCCATATTTGTGCTTATTGAAGTAGTTATTGTAAGATAGTCTGTATTTGAAATTCTGCAGGTATTGTACAAAAGAAAAATACTCTTTTGATTGAAATCTACTCGTAATGTCAGGGAATGTGCATGTCAGCCATCTTTTTTCTTCATTCTTTTTGTGAGGTACGTGTACTTACCACATTCCTGAAATTGAATCGAAGACATCATTTCCGTTGGCAAATATTATGATATATTCATCTGTACCCAGTTATACATTACTAATACAGCCGTGAAAGTACCAGAAATGTGATGCTTACAATTTTGAAAAGCCATTTTGAAATATTTATTTTTGAAGCATATTTAAGATTGTTAAATTATTTAATCAAGCTGAATAGCAATATGAAATCCATCTCGTCATGAACTGAAAATACTTGTAAAGAGGCCCAGGGTTTCATGAGTAAGAATTATTGTTCGAGGAACATTGAAGTAATTAGCAAATGTATTTTCTTGCGTTGGAAATGATTGAGTGTTGGGTGTATTGTGAACAGAAAACAAATATGCATTTGATTGAATAAGAACTGAAAATATATATGCATTTCATTGAATTTTGGCATAATCATCATTTATGTGAAACTAATGTACCATGTATTTGTGTAAATGAACATGTCATTTAAAGGAGTTTGAAACAAAAATCATTAAAGTGTGTCTAAGATCATCTAATTTTCAGATTGTATATATATGTGTGTATATAATGATTTCAAAGAAAAAAATTGAAATAGATCGGAATCAAAGAAATTTGATTCTTGCATTGTACGTAATACATCTGCAGGAGTTGTTGGTGGTACATGGAAAACGAACATGAATAAAACTTTCTTTGTTGTTTGTCAAATAAACCATGTACCATGACAAAAGACAAGAAATGCTTGTAATTCGAAGATAATCCACTGAATACTCTTTCTTTTATTTTGAAATGTATGCTGCTGTGTTTGTGCCATCAACCTGGATCGACCAAATCAATTGATTCATAATATATGTAATGTATTTTCCCCGTGACATGAGAATTCATTCTGTTAATTAAATGTAATGTTAATTGTTATTTTATTATTGAGTAAAGTGGGGGCACGCTACAAGAGTTCTATCTCGCACCCCGGGGCAACATGTCTCACACGGCCGGTTGTAGCAACTACTCCGAAGATCAAGATACATTAATCTGATCTAAGGAGACACGAACGAACGCTGCTGTTATGTTATATCCATACAGGGTTAATCCATGCTGAAGAATATTGTGGGGTTTTCCCCTTCTTTCAAAAGACAATCTTGAATGGGTAATACTAATCTGCTGATGTGATCAGTTAATCCCCACATTATTGTTCAGTGCGAGGGAAGAGTTTGCCAGGATTTACCATACTACTATTACTACTTTTTCTTTTGTATGCATAGACATGTAGTATTTTGTGCATACGTGTTTTCACCTCATAGGCCGTGTTATTTCATGTGCTTTTTGCTTTTGCTGTGTATTCTGCTAGTAAGTTTTTACAAGCTTAGCAAAGAAACAGTATACTTTAGTGTATGTAGTTTTTTATTATTATCTTTTTGTTCTCATCTATATATTCATTTGTTATTTCTTTTTTAATTGTTAAATTTATTCTTTCTTTTTTTCTCAGGGGGAGGGGGATCTTATTTGAATTCACCAACATTTGTTCCTGAAACATTTACTTCAAGCTTTGTATTGCCAAAGATAAAGGGTTAGGCCTTTGGGGTTAGTTTAACCATAGTGTTAGGTTAGGTTTGAATATTTTGTAAGTGTAAAAATTTGACCATAGAGCAACTGTTCCTGAAGCATGTATTGTATAATAAGTCTTACAAATTCATCATGTGGCAGGGTTTGAATGACATTAACTCCCACGCCTGTTTTGTATATGGCATTCCTGTTATTCTACTTCTTGAATTTATTTCTTTGATGTTCTGTAAGGGCTTTCCATAGATTTATAAACTTGATTGATTGTCCCCCACATATATATGTACACTACCTAACCTTCAGAATGTCTTTCTGTAATGCATTCCGATGGTTCCTAACAATTTAACTGATAGAGATGGGTTTGATACAATAACAGTATTTTCAGACATATTCTGCAGCACACGTTACAAGCATGCTGAAAAAATCCCAAGTCTTTCACAAAGAAAAGTTGAAGTAAAAACATCCCAAGACGTACATGTAATAATACTACCGCACTTAAAAACATTGGTGTTAAACTCTGTAAAAATATAACGCGAGAACATTTGGCTGTTGAGAGCCAGAAGGATGGCGTTTAAAAATATGACTCAACACCCTTCTGGCTCGTGGTAGACAATAGAGGGCAGTCTCATATCTTACACTACAGCTTTGCTAATGCAAGTGTTGGTTATTATTTTGTTGTATTGCGTGTTATAGTAAGGATTTTGCGATGGGTTTTTCATCAATTCCTGCCCAGATTTATGTATTTCCCAAAAGTAGCAGTTTGTTTTTATAGATCAACAATGATGGCAATGTAAATATTTGTATGATGCAATAAGAGTTATCATGCAAATATTTTGGTCAATAGTATCAGTGGTTTCTATAGGTTTAAACAGCATCTTAGAAATTTTACATACCGGTAGATTGTTCCGTGTGCATTTTTTGTTATGGTTAGTATATGTGTACATGAATATCAGTCACTTACCTTAACAAAAGAAAGAGTATTCAGAATGTACATTGGCAAAATATTTTCATTGTCGATACATACATTGATCATCTTTTTTTTATGATAAAAAACAAGCAAACTGAGTGCATATTTTGATTACTTACTCAAGATGTTTGTGGATGTAGCCTTCCAGCATTTATTGACAATATCTATATGCAAAGATGATTAAGGAGAGGAAAATAGACTCGTCTTTGAAATACAAATGAACTTGATTTTTGCTTGCTTAATGTATTTGAGAGTTTATACAATGTATAAACTAATTGTGTGTTAGTATTCAGTTGAGAGGGAGCTACCTCTCATGAAATATCAGCCTTTGCAGTGTAGTAGATTTGTAGGTACCAAAGAATTTTGTTTTGTTTTTTTGTACAAAATAATTACAAATTGTTATTTGCCATTACCGAGATTCACATTTTAAGGAACATGTGTGATTTCCCAAAGAAGGTGAATTCTATTTCACTTTGTTGTATTGCTAGTATATGGCTTACTTGTGACACTACATATTTGTTATTGTTGACATTTTGGTATGTTCGTTCACGGAAGCTGGAGATGTGTAAATTGTACATTTATTTTATTGAATTGGTCTTGATGCCCAACAAAAAGGTGATTTGTTGCACATCTATTTAGTTGTTTCTACTCTTATGCCATTTCTATAAAATTAAGAAAAGGGGCCTACTCACCCGACACTTTGTAAATAGTCAATATGTAAAAAGTGAGAGAAAGATGAGAGAGAATAAACTGTTTTATCATTCTTTTCAAGATAATGCTGCAAGATATGTTTGCTTTGTGTGTCCATTGTATATTTCTACATGTACTATAAAACTGAGTGAATATTGGAGGTGTGAGTTAAAAATAGATCCAGGATGATGCAACTTTTGTTACTCTAGGTTAAGAAACACTGTTTTAAATCTCATCAAAATTGGAATGAAGGGAAATTGATGACTCGGGGAAATACTGCGCTATCAGCACGATTCTTAAACAAACCATATTTTATTGCACAAGGAGCACAGAAGAAACATTCAAGATAGAAAGCATCGTTTATAACAACCCTAATAAACAACTATAAATATGGGGGAGAGAATAACCTATGAAATTGGGTTTAATATTAAAGACAATGACATAATTATGCAGGATGAGGGCGAGATGGAACCCCCCCCCCCCCCCCCACAAAAAAAAAAAAAAAAAATATATATATATATATATATATATATATAATAAATAAAATACATATGGAATAGATAATACATCCATGATGCTTATCCACTTCATATCAATCCTTCAAATACTAGTATATGAAAGTATATGTTTTAAAACCTGCAAAGATTATTTTGAATAAATAAAGACTTAAAATGTTTGCAGACTCCAATTTATACCCGTATTGGAGAAGAATATTCCACACCACATATATGTACCAACTTTAAGGGAATACATAGTAATTGAACAAATATGAGGGCCATGTAACTTGAACATTTCTCTTTTACTTGAATCCCCAAGTAATAATTCAAGATTCTGCAAATGAAATATACAAGGTAAAACATCTTCAAACTTTATTACACATATCAAGCCTTTTCTGAATACCAAATACTAGGTTGCAACCTGACCTGCAGAGTGCTGTTTGAATGAACATTTCTGCTTTTATCTAGGACAGCTTAGAGCTAATCTTGAGCTCTGGTATGGGCATCGTATGCCAAGAGAACATGGCTATAATATAATTCATTCTGGATTGTTTATCCTGCAGTAGATTGATTGTTTGAACCAGCAGAATAAAAACAACTTCACAAAAACTTGCTGAAAATCATCTTCAATTAAAACCACAACCCTCATTTGCACTTAGTGACCCCTGTTCCTGATCTTTCTATGCTCATTACTCAGCCCCTATACACTTTCTACCAAAATCGTTGAGCACATGTCATTTATTTATAATTTTGAACATTCATTGTAAGTTTTTTTGGATTCTGTGAGAATTTATTATCTATCAATACCAGAACTCGAGCTTGTCTTCAACTCCAAAGCCTATGAATTATTAGCATAATCACGACCTAAAAGTGTCATTATTTTTGTTCCATGAAAATTGGTGGAAGGAAGCATTTTTTAGCTGACATTTTGTTTGTTCAAATAATCCAACCAAAATACCATGAGCCCTTTAAATAAAGAATGCACTTGTACTTGACCTCATTTTGAATGAAGCTGCATCAAGTTTCATAATCAATCTTCCAAACCATGTACTTTGCTTTTATTAAAGGGATAGTAGAGTTTTGTTGCAGAGGGCGCAACACAAGATAATTTTTTTGTGAGATAATGAAGAATTGAGTGTTAAATTTCAAAGAACATACAATTTAAATGACACTATCATCTTTGTTTTATCAATATCGGTTCAGAGACGGCTGAAATATCCATAAATATAACCATTTCTAAAATTTGTGGGGCCCCACAAATATCCAATAATTTTGAACCAGCCATTGAAAAACCCAGAAAAAGCGCCTTATAAGTTTTATTCCAGCCAATGCCAATGCTGGCTTTTTGTTGGCTATGATACGCACATCCAGTCGACCCGTGTATTGTTATTATTAATTAATTAATTAACGGTCACCGTATTGTTTTGGAAGTGGAGCTGAATTGGTATGATCGTGTTTAATCTTAATTTCACACATTTTGGGGTCTAAAATTACCTGCATAGCAAGTTTAGGTCCTAAAAGAGCATTAGAAATGTCATAAATATGAATAAGAACAATAACCATAAGTATTTGCGATCTTAAACAATAAGTCAACTATCCCTTTAAGGCTATTGAGAGTACCTTTTGGTACACAAGTGTTAACAGAAACAAGCAAAATATGTAGACTACTGAAGAAAAAAGTTTGCTCCATAATGTTGAGACACAAGTATGGAATCAACGGTTATCATAGTTTCTGAATGCCTCGGAGTACAATAATATTTGTATGAGTATAACATTCACTGGCATATAAATCTTGGGATGCTGTAATGCAAAATTAAAGCTTTATGTTAAGTAACGAAGTCATGAGAAACTCAAAGAAACTTTCCTCACTTGCATCCAATATCATTTCTTACCATCTATGTTTATATTTGCAGAACAGATTTTGGAAACAAAAAAAATTGTGACAAAATTAAATGAGAGAGCAAAATTTCAAATTAGCAAATCATGAAGAAAATTTTGTTAACCTTAAAATATATAATATATTTTTTTTGAAATCAATTATAAAACAGTATTGAGTTACCTTTGGTTTAAAGTGATGTGTTGGGTCTTTAACACAACAAAAGTATATTTTAGATTTTCTCATCAAATACTGATAATATCCATCCAATACCTGCCCTGAAAATGGTTGAACAATGTATACATCTAGATGATAGCACCTCTAATTTATACACTTAGAATTATTTCTCCCAAAATTACACAATGTACATTGTAGCTATAGAGTCAAGGTTTCACAGTAAAAACTCTGCATGTATATGTACATAAACAATAAGCATGCTTAACGATGTACTGGCCTCTCAAAATATGTTTTGACCTTTATATGTACTAAAGTATATACCAGCCACTTTCATTATTATAGAAAATGATACCTTGTATGCCTTGAGTACAATATGTTTAATGATGTATAAGAGGATTTATTTGATACTTGTGACAAGGGCACCTTTAAAGGCCATATCGTTTTGAAGACTGCACCAATAACCTTTGCCTGAGCCACATGAATTGTATGTAGGTCCTGTCTGTCAAATTTGAAATCAAACAGTGATCTAGATTTCAAATAAAACATGGAAAACCATTTCATAGGCTTCCTGTCAGACCCAGTTCTTGTATTTTGTTTTCAATATGACATACCATGGACTATCAATTGTATATCTTGTTTAGAATAGCTTTAAATCCAACTGTTTTGTTTTCAAATAATATTTTAGGTAAGGTTCATATGGATATTTTGATCTTAACTGTGAAAGAGATCAAACCCATGCAGTAAAAGGGTTTCAAACCTGATGTATTTTTCTACGGTCAGATGAAAAATCTCATATCAGAAACAAATTGAATGATTTATTCACAAAGACTGCTTCAATTGGCCTAGGCCTACTGGTACTTTCATTTTATAGGTTCTTCAAAACTGCATTTTCCAGACAATAGTCAAGTATTTGGGGGCAATTCCAGACTTTCTCAAGCAAAAGGGACACACTGTCTTCAAGAAAGCATACCAACACGTACTAATAAATACAAGTCAATGCACCTTGGTAGTACATGAACATTTCTTGTGTCTGATAAGTGACTTGGTAGATTTCTTTACAATGGAAATGCTCATAACTTAGGCTTTCAGCCGAGAAAGAAAGGAATAGAAAAAAATAGCACAACCAGGATTTGTTGATTTTCCCCAAGAGCTAAATCTCCCGCTTGGTATTTGGAACACAATGTTATTTTTTATGTGAGTGAAAGGCATACAGTCAATTTAGATTTTTTTCTGATATCAAAATGGAATTACACAGCCAGTTATGGGCACAACTTCAACACTGCATAGTTCTCTGATGTGCTATGACAAATATCATATATCTCATTAGCATAGAAGATCATTCATTTTTTTGGAAAGCATCCCACACATCACTTTTCATAAATGGGTACTAGCTTAATGAAAATACAAAAACTTTTCAGAAATACAATACCCAACAAAAGTGAGTTCATCCCTTATAAAATCTTTTTTTTTCAGTAAAAAATAAAAAATAAAAAGCAGCTTAATGTAATTTTAAACAAATGAGGCTTGTGCTTTTCAAAGATGTTAGTAAGAAGTTACATAATATATAACTTCTTACTAACATCTTTGAAAAGCGCAAGCCTTACAGAAATGGTCAGGTAGACATTCGATGACATGTGTGTTGGAACAAAATATTATTCCAAAACAAAACTGTAGCCTATAAAAGATAGTGTTTAAATTAGGGTCAACAAAATCACACACACAAGATTTGTGGGGGTATACTTCCTTTTTTGGGATACGTACTGTACAGTGTATACTAGCTAAAGTTAATTACAAATCTGATCAAGAAATGGTACTAAATGATGGGCAGCAATGATCGTTACATGATGCGATGGAAGAATCGTCTGGCTACATCAGCTTCCTGGTACATCAGGCTTCCAAGAACAATGCTAGCAATACCAACAATGCTGAGGAGTGAGACCTCATTCTGGAAGATGAGTAGGGAGAGGCCTACAGTCAGTACAATACTGATGTTACCTAGTACCTAGATATAAGAATAAAGGAGGGAGAAAAATGTATAGAGAGGTAGAGAAGGAGATAGAGATATGAACATATGTGTAGAGAGAGAGAGAGAGAGGGGGGGGGAGGGGTATATGAAGGAAAGAGAATTATATATTGAAATTAAGTAACAATTTATATCATTTATAACTATATGAGTGAAAAATTAATAATTATTAAATTAGAAATGGAGGAAGAGAAAGACAAAAAACAGACAAATTATAATAGAAATAGAGAAAGAGAAAGGGAGAGAGAGAGAGAGAGAGAGAGAGAGAGGGGCTTAGACTGATGGACAGAATATAAAGATACAAACACACATCAAAAGTTAAGAGCATTCTACAAAAGTAAGAAGGAAGAGACAAAAAGAAAGACGGAAAATATACACATAAACAGAATATACATGGAAAATAAAAAATAAACATGATAATTATGTAAACGATGAGAATGAAAGTAAAATACAAACTGTAAACACGCTACCTTTGAACATAACTTCAATCCAAATTTTATTCTGGCTAATCAGGGACGAAGTATGCTGTGAAGTTGAATGAATTCACTAGCAGATTTAGAGGAGGGAAGGGGGAGGTCAAAGCTAGTCCATACCCTCTTCTTGAAACCAATGTGGTATGTCTTTAGTTTACAACTCAAATAATGTGCCCCTCCTAATTATTTCATATTTTCAAACCAAAAGGCATCTGAAAAGTGTGATGTATATTCATTTTCAGGTGCTAGCCTGCTTGCCACATAATTTTATGATTTGCACATCCGCTTTAAAAAAATTCCTGAATTGCCCATACCTGAAGTGTGACTGGTGAAGTATAGTAGGTGACTAGGAAGGTCATGATGTTATATCCCACAGCACATATACAGCTAAGAATAATGAGGGTCCACAGTTCAATACTTGTACTCAGCCTTGGGTCCCAGAGTGCACCTCCTTCGAAGAGGAGAGAAGCTACGCCTAGTTGGAGGAAGCTCGGTATGCATATATGGTAGAGGAGGCGGACCGAGTCAATTCGCTCATCCTTGAGTAACACACCTAGAATATGCCATGAAATATAAACAATATGCTTACCGGTACTCATATAATTATGATTTTGCAAAATGAATCAATATGATTTAGGCGCAATATCAAAACATACTTCATTACACTCAATAACATATTAAAAAAGTATACCGATAGTATATTCTTTATTATTTTCTTTCTTTTATGAAATTACATTACATTACATGTATCTGTGTAAAGAATATCCAAAGTTAAAAGATCAGATTTATGAGAAAACTGTATTTCATACAATCAACCATATATTTCTTGACAGTAATTAATTATGAACATTGTCTACCTGTAATGAATTTAGTGCAGTTACAATGTCATATATGTCTTCTTCTTTTTTTTTTTCAAGTCTCTTTCTTTTTTTGGGGGAGCTAGGGGGTGAAAATGTGATAAAACAATCTTATAGAGTCAGCATTGTTTTATAAGTAAACAGGAATATGAAATTATATGAAAGACACAGTTGAATAACAATTTTTGGTGAAGATTCATGGTTTTCAAATCTACAAAAACTCTTTTTGTAGAGCAGAACATACCTTGAAGAACAGATCTACCGGCTCTTAATAACGTAGCAGTAAAGGCAGCAATGAATCCAAATACACTGAAATTAACTTCACCAATGGTACATAAAAGAGATCCAAAGCACAGAGGTAGCATGGACAAATATACAAACTGATCAAACTCTCTTCCAAACAGTACTTTTGATATGACGACAGTGGCAAGAGGAGTCACTGCCATAATCATCTTCACGAACGACACGTATAAATGTTTTAAGGCGATATTTCCGCAAGCAATACTGACGGTTGATACCACGCTCAAAATGAAGATCTTTGGACTGAGATGAGGAGCGAATTTCAAACGGGCGTTGCCTTCCCCGTAAGCAGCCCCGAAAGGTGTGAAGCGGATGACGACAAAACCGAAAATGGCCGTGGAGAGCATATGAAGTGCCGTGACGAAAAGTGGGTATGGGAAGCCATAACTCATGAAGAGCCATTTATTGATGTTTGTGAGGCAAATGTTTAGAGTTAACCAGCCTGCCATAGAGAGGTACGTCCAGAGGTGAATGCGACCTGATAAGCTAACGATCATCTGCTCCATGGTGTGCAAATTTTCTTTCCAATCTTCACCATGAAATAACACAATTGTGATCAGGAAACAACTGGTTGGCAAATCCTGTATCACTGTTCAAGTCCTCCTATGTGCAGTAAGTAAGAGTAAAAAAAAAAAAAAATTGTGAAAGGAGCATGGGATATGATGTATGGAAATATGACTGTACCAATTCTGTATTATCTTAGCTAATCATAGTTTGTAGTTGCATTTAGGCCTACACGCATATATAGCTCATTTAAATTGAAGATTTACAACTTTGTTTGAATTACAATTAAAGTATCCCAGGACTTAATTCATCAGCCGAAATATCTTCATCTTTAATGTACAAATTATCAGTAAGGAATTCATGAGGATAAAGAGCTGATGAATTTGGGGGGGGGGGGGAGCAGGAAACTGGCTAGAACAATTGCTTCAGTCTACGTCTGGCTGCACTGGAAGGTTAACAAATGTCAGTTAATTTTATCAAAGAATTGCCCATTCCAGACAGTTAATTTTGTGTAGAAACTGCCCTAAAATAATTGTCAAGAATATTCATTGACCATTCACACTTATATTAAAGGGGCCCGTTCCTGCCAGTGTAGTTATCGCTGTTCTAGTCATCGCCATCTTGGTTCTGAAGGTCGACTTCTAATATGCATAAAGCTGTCAATCAAAGTACGTGCGGCCTGGCCTGCCTTCGCCAAGCCAGCTGATCGCTGACGATCGCGACGTCATGAAAGTGGGCGGAAACAGCAGCCGAATCTTAGAGCCGAACTGCGATTGGCATTACTTCGGCACATGTATGCGATAATCGGTATTGTCCGGGCATTCGGAACATGCCATCTGCGTAAGAGCCGTAATCTGTTGGTGTCAATAGGCAGCGCTAGCACCGTCCGCCAGCGGGTACGTATTTTGAACGCCCTCTGGAATACGGGGAACATGCCTCTTTAACATAAGTGTGAATGGTCAATGAATATTCTTGACAATTATTTTAGGGCAGTTTCTACACAAAATTAAATGTCAGGAAAAATAATAATAATATATTTACCACTATCATCTAGAATCTATAACACTGATGCTTCCGACAGATCTGATCTTGCTTATTATTTCAATAAGACCAGCGAGTAGAGTGTTAAACAGTACTTTAAATACCCCTGCATATACAGGCCGAGTCATATCCATCACTACTGCCTACTGGTACATAAATGTTGAGGGTCAATACCGATCATTGCTTCATTCACTGATCAGTCTTGACAATATGACAGCTATGATATGAAGGCCTTGTATTAATTATGTGCAGTAATGATTGCTCGATCATGTAGGCCTTTACTATTGTAGTACATGCCACGTTATATATTACAGGACAAACCGCGCACATCTACGGTAGATTTGGACTCACTATACTGTACGTACCGATATGCTACTTGATGAATAACATAATGGAACACGCCCACCCGCTCTGCAAGTCGTCAAGAAATCAATAGACAAATAAATACTCACGTACGGTACATGATGTTTTGGCTTGTCAAAATCAAAGTGTATTATGAAGCTAACTATTCACTACTCGGTACAAAAAACACTGGTAGTCAAATGTATGAATATTGCATGTATACACGGCACGCAATAAGCAATTTAGACAGCGTCGACGGTGAAAGTCTGCCTCTGATCGGAGCGTCGCGGCAGAGTGCATGATTGGTGCAGGTGCCGGTGGCGCGCGTCGCGACGACATTGGATCGCACTCTTATCTAGCATGCATGCAGCATAATGCATGATGCGGGGTGTGGGGCCTACTCTCTGGTTACCCTTGCGATTGCGCGGTTGAATTTAAATGGCGCCACTCCAAGCTAGCTCTTAATGCTCGAGCGTATACCCGGGCGTATACCCTGTCGATTGTGCAAATTGTTTGCATAAATCTCTGGTTATCATGTTGTTGTTGATGTTGTTTGTTGTTGTTGTTGTTGTTTGTTTGTTGCTGTTGTTGTTGTTGTTGTTGTTATTGTTATTATTATTATTATTTTTTTTTTTTGGGGGGGGGGGGAGTAGCTGCGATGTCATTCCCGCCGTCCGTATATGTAGATGGACATGCCAATAACAATATTTTGACTCGGTAAATATTTGACTAATTTTTGTCAAATTTTGAGAGAATGTTACTGAAACATTGCTTAAAATCTTAAGAAAAATGATTTCCATGCAAGCCTACATATAGAAATGTTTTTCTCATTTTAATTAAAAACTTACTTTATACTGCTGAGGAATAACCTGGAAATATCCATACAATTATATCTTTTGTAATACTCAATAGCAGTTCTAGTGGGAGGGGAAGGGGGTGAGGGGATGGAGCCCCCCCCCCCCTCCTCCACAACAAAATCTTAAAGCTCCCAAAGTTGTATCGGTTATAAATCATTTTAAATGAGGGTGAATGTAAAACCTAAGCTAAGTAAAAGCTGCCCCATTAATCTTCTAGAACCAGGCCTGAGAATAGTTTGGAAAGGAATTCCATCCTATTTTATGCACCCTTATTATTTTGCTTTCCATTACCTTTTGCACTTCTTTGCAATGATGTCATTCCAAAAGTGAACACCTGAACTATGTAAAAATGAAGTGGTAGAACGTCATACTGGGAACAATATTTTCTATATTTGAGTCAAATATTGATAAATATATATTTATCATTAATATTACTATTATTATCATCATTGTGAAAGTGCACAAACTCGCTGATACAAGTCTCATCAGTATACTATCATTGTGCCCATTATGGTAAGTTACACTCTCATCCTCAGCATTATCTTAAATATATATCTCTCTATCTCTCACTTTATCTCTCCCTTTCTCTCCCTGTCTTTCTCTCTCTGATACTTTTCCTGGATCTCCTGTGCTGTCTGCACTATTTACCCTCCTTACCGCTCTTCTATATTTTCCTCCAGCCCTTTTGTTCTCTCTTCTCTATTAATTTTGAACGATCTTTTCATTTATGTCATATATGACGATTGTGGAATAGACTTAAGCAATTTATTTTAAAATTCATTCACTGTGTGATATGTCTTAATATGACTTGCTGGATAATTTTAGTGTAGTTCATTTATGATTGTATAAATATTTATGTTTTTACGCAATGTACAAAATTCTGCAATTCAGCCATCTGGCTGCAAATGAATTTTCAACAAAATCATTACCATTACCACGTTTGAATATAATGGAAAATCAGTCCTGGCATAAAAAGTGTTGGTGTTTGAAAGTCATTTACTATTTCGTTAGGAACAGCACTTGCTTGTGGATTATGTCATGTTCTTCATTCGTTACAAAATTTCTTTTTTTAATTATAAAGGGAAAACGACAAAATTAAAACAAAAATAGCTATAGCCAAAGAAATTAGTTCTTAAATGTTGTGAAACACAATTGGATAATGATGTACCGGTACATTTTTAAGCTTAAAAACTTTCCGCCAGGACATCTCAAAATTGCTTTCTTTCTTCCTTTGTTTCAATATCTCTCTTGGATATTTGGATATGTACAAAAGGCAGGCTATGTGTGCATGCTCAGTCTTTGTACATTGAGAAACTTTGTACGTATGTATGTGGACGAGTGGATATGTCACCATACTGTGGATCACAAGGTCCGCGGTTAAGTCCTACCGCGGCACTAATGTCCTTTGGCAAGACATTGATCTACATTTGCCACTCTCCACCCAGGTGTTAAATGGGTACCCGGTAGGATGCAAAAGCTAATGTGCTTAGATTAGCAAGTGTGCGCTTGTAAAAATGACGCCTGGCTGGAATGCTCCCCAAGGAGGGGAGAATGTGCATACATTGTGTGCGGACAAGCCTGAATCCGATGACCGGGGTAATAATATATATCCTTTGAGAGGGCCTTCAGTCCTGAAAAGCGCTATATAAGAACTAGCTATTATTATTATTGTATTGAAAAATACTTGTAAAAATTAAAAAGGTATTAAAGTACAATTTCACCAATTTAATAATTTGGTTAAAATTAATATTCAATAAGTAAACACAATAATAAGATATTATCAAATGAATATATGAGACTGTATTTATTTCATACACATCTGGTTCATTATCATAGATTTTGGTCATTTAGGCTCACGCACGCCAGCTATTCTCCACTCCCGACGACGGATAGTCAACCTGTTTGAAACGTCGAGCCACTCATCCTCTCCAAGCGCTATAGTTCTCCTTAGAATCATATGCTAAGAAAGATAACAGTCTTTTTCAGGACTACCACACCCCCAAGAAAGATTACCGAGTCAGAGTCCTTTTTAGGACTCCTCAACCCTCTCTCTCTCTCTCTCTCTCTCACATGGTGCAACGGCAAACCTACTGTATATTTAATTGTAGTCTTAATAACTCAATAACTAATTATAGTTATCTTTGCCATGATGGATAAATCTTGAAGTAATTTTGTTTCTTTAAGTGCCTATATATTAAAACATGCATATGTGTGTGGGTGTTTGAGCGTGTGTGTGTGTGTGAATTCCACAGTTTAAAGTAAACAAAGAGCACAAAGACACACAAGTATTATTACGATTATCACACTGATTTTACTAGTTCAATCAAAATAAATATAAAAATTTCAGTTTGGTATATATGTTTCTTTTAAAATAATCATAAATCTATAATCATTTACTATTATTATACATATTATACATTAACAATTATAATAAAGACCTGGGGTATTGCAGTACAAATCAGCATAATTCTAAATCTTATTACAGGGTTTTAAAAGTACTTGATAAGGTTGCAACCTTATTCAATTTATAGTCTGTATATAAATTTGAAGCATTACCAAAATCATATTTAACTCATATGAACATGGTCACTACACTCTTGAGTGATTGTCATTATTGATAATGATAATAATAATAAATTGATTCTTTTATAGCGCTATATCCAATTTAGAACTGATCAAAGTGCTTTACAAAACAAATAATATGATAGAAAATGTAATGCACTCAATTACAATGTAAATAGGTGTGTTTTAAGATGCTTCTTAAATAATTCAACTGACATACTACAGCGTCATGCACAAGGTAACCTATTGATTTCATTGTCTGAAGAGACTATATTCAAATCATTCAGGAAGGCATATTCTCATGAATATTCATGAATTATATTGCTATGTGACGTTGGCACTTTTAAAAACTGTAACTGATCCAGACTTTGTATTTCACGATTGACAGGTCTCCGGAGATGCTTATGAGAACCGGTATGTTCATGGCATTTCAAGGCATTCCTGTGAGAATTATTTATAATCTTTTCCCCATCGTTAGTATATCAACATGCAAGTTGACATTTAAACCAATCATAAAATTAACTCTTTTCTTCGGCAAGAAAATATAAATAAAGATATACAGTGTATCATCAAGAGTGGTAAAATCAAGCAGTTGGTGTTTAACTGGTGCAGATTAACTACAAACGTTTCCAGATATTCTTCAAAATTATTACAAAGTACATAGAAGTAATTGGGACATCTTTTAGCTGCCAACTACCAATAAATCATAAATTCATCAACAAAAGTTTATTGGGGCAAAAAATGTGTTATTGATTAATCTCATATAACATTATATTGGGGCGAGTACTGCTTTAGTAAATTACATGTGTTATATAAATGTATGACTGAAGAGCTTGGGACCTCTAAGTGTCAGTAAATATGCCTACACAAACTAAAAATAAGTTGAGGCAATTTTTTCACATAATCCATTACAAATACTTTATAAAAATTGTGAGAAGGAAGACATCATTATACATATATATATATATATATATATATATATATATATATATACAGTATATACACACATCTATGAGTGAAAATGAGAGAATAATGGTTGTGTAACTTACATCAACGTTCCCTTTTTGGAAATGTTTGCAATATATATGTGGGTATGTGTTTGTGTGTGCGTTTGCTGACAATAATCCAGCCCATTGGGAAGATACATTTTTTTTAAACGGGGGGTATATAACAAATCTTCACAAGGATCAGAATTACAAAACTAATAATAAGCACTGAAGCCTTAATGTAGTCAACCTCAATGTGCAGATTTCAATGCCTTTGTCTCTACCCAAGATAAGACTACTAAAAAACCACAAACTTTCATGACGTGGAAATTTCACAATTTGTAAAAGACAACAATTTCCACAGCAAGGAACTTTGTGAATCGCAACAAAATTAAAAAAGGCAAATCTGGACCAATCACAAATTTTCAAAAATTTTAGGCATGTAAAATTTCAGATTTTACAGTAATTAATAATTGTCATAGATTATTAGTTGGATAAAATAAACAGTAAAATACAAGATACGGAGCCTTATATTTCAAAAGCCTTGGTCCCCATAAATCATTTAATTTTACTACATGAAGAATGCATGATGATCAAACGTAGACACATTACTAAATAAAGATTTTATTGCAAATAATTTACATCACATATGAGAAATCAAAATTTCTTGTATTGAGGTAGTCCATGTAAAATTGAAAGGTGTCAGGGCCTGAAAGGTGGCACCCCCGATACCCTGATGACATAGTATCCCCACTGATGTGCATCTCTATGGGTCTGCTACATGGACGATCTGTTTACCTACATTGCCACCTGACATCATAGATACAAATGCTGCTCCTGTATTCTCTAGTCCTTCAGTCACTGTCTCTTTCACCTATTAAACAAGAAGTAAAACAGATATATTAATTTTTTACTGAAGAAAAGTAGTATTCCTGTTTTAAGTATTCAAGAATTTCTAGAAAAGCTAATCTTTGCTCAAGCTGGTTGAATGGGCTAGTGCGTCTGAGAGTACATTGTTTCTCACCTGCTCTACCTTTAAGTGTTCAAGATTCTCTGGAAAACACAATCTTTGCTCAAGTTAGATGAACAGGCTAATGGTGCTTCTCATGGTACTTTAATCTCAACCGATGTTGTAATATTCTTAACTTCAAGTGTTCAAGAATCTCTGTAAAAAATAATATTTGCTCAAGCTAGATGAATGGGCTTATAGTGGTTCTCAGAGGACTTTGAACCTCAACTGCTTAACAAAAGCAGAACTGTTTGATTTTACACACCAAATGCAAACACTGAAGCCTTTAAATCTGCTATGTTTACTTTTGTAGAATAGAAATATATATGAGGAAACCAACAGCGTAGATTTTTTTTCTTCATTTTGAAAGTTTTAAAAAGGTTAACTGTGCAAATCTTTTATTGAATTATATGAAAGACATAAATTTCAACAATATGAAATAACACAATTGTTGTTTTTGTCTGTTACAGGAGAGATTCCTTTTGTTTATTTTACATTGTTCACCAAATTCATTTGGCAAGCACATACACAAAACATGTGACTAATTTTGCTTTTGATTGTTTACAATGCAAACAACAATAATTTGAAATGATCTATCAACAACTGTATCCTATTACCTTAAAGTTGGAATCATACCTTAAAAAATCCAAGATTCAAAGCAAACTTGGAAGAAATTGTTCGAATGAGTCACAAACCTTAAATTTTCCTTCCCGAATCCATGTTGCAAGTTGAACCAATCCCTCTGGAAATTCCTCTGCATAGGTCAGGACCACGAATCGCTCCCTTTTAATGTTGAAATCTTTGACTCTCTGGGCTATATTATCCGCTAACAGAGGTGGATAGTCACGGTGTAGGTTGTTGTACATTGAAATCTGCCCACACAGAATGATATTGCTGTCTTTATTCATCTGCAGAAAATGAAAGCAATCATTGGTTGTTATTTTTTTTTACATGACTGCTAAGAAAGCATAAACGCTTGTAAGTAAGCAACCAGACAGTTGACGGCTTTAGGTCCTCTCCGAGGGACCTGGTAATAAGGATTAATGCCTTACCAAAGGGCACTAGTGCATCGACTTGGTTTCAAACCCGGGTCACCGGATTACGAGGCCACTGCTCTACCGACAGAGCTATTGCGCCTCCTCTGAGCTTTCGCGCCTCATGCATATAGTTGTTGCTGATTTATTTTTGGCGTTCAGTCGAATTTGACTTCCGGTATTCATGCCTAGTCTAGTTCTTTAGCTTAATCAGTCGAGGTGGTTGAGTCGGAAAAGTTCCTAGCTTGGAAAATCTGTGAGCATGTGCTTTGCTGGTCTCCTGCTCAGGATGTATCGTCCCAGCAAACCCTGCTAGGTACATTGAGCATGCTTATCAATCCTTCGGATCTAGGCCACTCAGATACACAGTGTACTGCTATAGCAAATCAAGCATAGACGATCACAGTGGCCTTTCAATGATCTCTATGTATCATTGTCAGGACACTCTGCTCTTCTTATTTTATTTCAAACATCAGACTCTTTCAGTAGGCCTCCTGACCTGTCTGTACCACTAAATTAAACTTCAGAAAAATCTTGAAAATAGGAAACGTCCATTAATTGATCCTCACTAAACTTTTGAACAGTTGTTGGACCCTGAATATGACAAATACTGATCCTTTTTGCTAAAAAAGTGACCAATACAATAAAAACGTTGTCATTGAGGTCTGTGAGACTGATCATTTTGGAATCAGCGCAAAATCTTAGCAAGGATCCATCTATTAAATCTTTCCAATCATAAATTATGACTGAATTAAATAGAGTCAAAATCTTTAGCAACGCTAAAATTACATTTTTTTGCACAGAATCACGCAAATGTTGAAAATGGCCAAAATGGCAGGAGTGGTCAAAATGGTGTAAATTCACTGAATGGGATGGATTTTCCGGAATCAGCATTTATGTCTACACAGAATTTCGGTGTCAAATCGATATATCCATTAATCTTTGGAAATAAGAACCCTATTTCGATTTTGCAATTATGAACCCCCTGGTATGGGAAATTTGTGTTTCTGAATTACAAAATCTTTGGAAATATGAACCTTCGGATAATAATTCTTTGGCAAAACCAGTGCCTCGATCCCTTACGATTGGGTGTATAGTTCTACGTGGGTTCTTTAGCAAGCAGAACAGTCCAAAGCATGAGATAGCTTGCTATCATCTCACCTTCATGATAACTGTATCACTGATCTCTCCTCCCACATTATCAAAGTAGATATCTACTCCAGCAGGGCATGCAGCCTTGAGTCGCTCCTCCACGTTCTGGGTCTTGTAGTTGATAGCGACATCAAACCCCAACTCCTCCGTCAGCATACTGCACTTCGCATCGGTACCACAGATCCCAACAACATGGCCACATCCCAAGATCCTTGCTATCTAAAAGAAAATAGTAACATGGTAATGATTTCATGAAAAGGATCGACTTCTTCACTAATTTGGTTCAGAATGCAAGAAAGAAAAATGTCCCTGAAACTTTAAAGGAAAATACCCAGTTAGTAAATAAAATGAATAGTATTAGTTTCAACATTAAAATATTCACAATTTTACTGTTGTCATCAAATTTTCTGACATTATGGAACTTGAGATAATTGTTTATAAATACTTGAGCTTTTCTTTTAACAAATACTTCTGGTTCTAAATTTAACCTCAGGTACCACTTTTAACCCTGGTTTGATTATCAAAACAGATAGTCTAACTTTACTGACCTGCCCAGCTAAGGATTCAAATACTCGACCTGCATAGCTAAATACAAAGATTCAATTAGTTCCAGGAACCACATGAAATGGTCTTACTACTGACCTGTCCAGCTAAGGATCCACATGCTCCAGCAGCACCACTAATGACCATAGTTTGATTGGTTCCAGGAACTACACCACCTTTATGCTTGATGCCTAGGAGTGATGTAAGACCTGGCATTCCAATGGCTCCTACAGCCAAAGAGTAATGGTCTCCAACCAAAGATTTCTCCACCTGTGAAAAACAAAACAAAAAACAATAATATTATTTTTATGAGAACTTGTTGTTGGGTGACCAGTAATATGACATAATGAAAAAGAAGGCTAAAGATAGAGAGGGACAGATAAAGAACAAAAGATGGCTCTCCTCCACCTCTTCCTCCTCCTCCTCCTCTTCCCCTAGTTCTTCTAATTCTTCTTTTTCTTCTCTATCTTCTTCTGCTGCTGCTACCACTACCACCGCCACCAATATCACTACTTCTACTATTAAAAAAAACACATTAATCATAATAATAACAATGATAATAATAATGATAATAATAACAATAACAATAACAATAACAATAACAATAACAATAACAATAATAATAATAATAACAATAACAATAATAATAATGATAATACTACTAATAATAAAATTAACAATAATAATAATAATGATGATAATAATAATAAAAATAATGAAACAAGTGCTATTTAAATGGTACTTATTCAGTTTCAACTGGACACTTGCAGCAAAACAGCCTTGTACTAAAAAAATTATCCAATAATGTCTTCTACTTCTACCATGCACCACTGCTACTCTTACAACTTATCATGGATTGAGATCTGCTAATTATGCCAGGGTAATAAGGGACATTATATTAAGTACAGCCTATCATCTGTTTGGAGCCAGAAGTGCATTAACTCCTATACTTAACACAGAGTTAATGCCCTCCTGGCTCCAAACAGACGATGTTTGTAGCATAGCTGTATTTTATACACACAGTCAAATCTGTCTTAGTGGCTACCTCTCTAAAAAGCAGGCAAACAAATATTTAAACAATTTCGGGGGCTATACTTTTCAAGCTTGCTTGCATGAAAATGACACTATTTAATTTGTTTTGCACTGAACTCTATGCAATTTTTTGGGGGCTCTTTTATGACTTTCGGGGGCTCTTTTTGGTATTTCGGGGGCTACTTCGCCCCGAGCCCCCATCTATTTTTGTCCATGCTATAAAGGCCACCTGTCTGTAGTGGCCCAGCATTTTGTCTTCCTTGAAAAAGAAATGTGTGTTGTAGAACCTGTCTAGAAAGGTTACCTGTCGGGGGCCACTTTTTTCTGTTTCCCTTAAAGGTGGCCTTTATAGAGAGGTTGAGTATAAGTGAATGAATCTGTTTTTACCTTTGAGAAGTATTGATTGACTTCAACTTGACTGTAGAGTTGCCATGGTAGATTGAATGATTGGATGATGTCACCAGGTTGATAACAATCATGTTTACTCTCGAGTACCAGTGCTACCCCGCCCCCATCTACGGTGTGACCAACCTTCCATGGCAGCATGTAAGCAGCTCTTGTCTTTTCATTCAACCGACTTCTCTGTCATAATAAATAAAATAACATGGGGCTGTATTATGAAAACTACCGGTACATCATTTTTTTTTTATACTTAAGTTAGTAAAATTATGTAAACTGTCATGACGAATTGAAATTGTGAAAATAAACACTTAAAGATAAACTCCAGTACTGGTAAAAAAAAAAAATTAATTCTCACAGAATCAAACGAAACTTACACTGAATGTTCAAGAATACAAATAAATGACATGTGCCAAACAATGTTGGAAGAAAATGTATACTGGCTGAGTAATGAGCATAGAAAGACAAGGAAATCAAGGTAGTACCAGCCCCGACACCATGTGTGTTGTCCCATATATAGCTTTCTATGTGAGTGCTTGTTACTTTACCAAGACTCGGTCAAATTTATTATGATTTTGATGACTCCAGAACCTTGCAGTGCACACCAATACTTACATGCTACATGATCAACTGTTTCTGATCCTTTCACACCTTTTCTTTCACAATGCAATCACATTACCAGTACTAAAGTTTATCTTTAAGTTACAGCAGTATGATCTTATATAGTAAAATATACGTCAAGTGTCATAAATAGATTGAAATTGGGGAGGGGTGATTTTCAAGGGGGTAATCGTCCATGTGGGGAAATCGTCCTCCGGGTTGGTTGTCCTCGGGGGGGGGGGGGGGGGGGGGGGGTGGGGGCTAATTGCCCGGGGAGTAATTGTCCTAGAACCCATTGGAGCGTGTGTCCTACCATGTATGGGTCCACTGAAAGGCACAGAGTTTTCACCAAGAGTTTGCCATCTGGAAGATCAGTCGGGTATGGACATTCTTCTGTCGCAAAGTTCTCTACTGCTGTCACACCACTGTCCCCTGTAGTAGGAAGAGAAGGACAAGAAAAGGAGAATGAACAGTCTTTATAATCCTAGCAAAAAACTATGTAAAAACATACATGTACATATATCATCAGACTCAAGACAGGGATTCCATGAGCCACCGCTACTCTGCTTTGTGCACCCTAGCATAAGTAATAACAGTTATTGTTCATGCCCATTGCACCGTGCTGAGTGCTTTGGCAGCGCGTGCATCAGATTATCGGCTTTGGATTACGTGTCTTTGTATACAACAGTCAGATTGGATTTTCTTGAGTAGACCTAGATCTAATTCAGCAATTTATTTTTTGTAAAGATTTAAATAACACGCACTTAAACCAACCCTAAAATTAGCTTGGCACACAGGAGATTTGTGGCTGGCACAATAGGGATTAGCACTGTACGTGGCATTGTTGGTATGCAGCTTAAAGTCACTGAGTAGTCGGCTCTCATGGGGAATTCGACACCGTTCGGGTGTTTACCCAATAACAGGTGTTGTCAATCACCAGGGTTAGCCTTGAGTTTTATGACCATTGGACCTTATGTAATGCCTTGATTTGCCCGAAGACTCTCGAGCTCTCCGAGAGATTAGGGGGTAATTCTTGACTGGACTATGGGTTTGCTGTGTGCAAATTTGTACCCCCATTAATGGTATTTCCACCAAGTCTGGTGTCAGCGAATTATGGCCTTCTGCACATGGAAACTGGCGATCCACTCCCTTTAAGAGTTGATCCGCAGCCAATTTTGAAAAAGTCCCCCCAAAATGGAATCTCAGAATCTCAGAATTGGTGTCCAGACATCGCTTAAGCACTAGATCTACGTCTAGAAATAAATATTAATGGCAAATAAAACTAGGTCTAAATCACTCTTTGACTTTAGAAGCTCTTAGATTTAGACAAGTTAACAGCTCGTTTTAGACTACTTACCTGGACGTGAACGAAGAGTAACCCTTTTATTTGACTTTGAGACCTGCATGACTGGATTCCCCAATATATCTATCTAAAGTTCGAGCTGTAGAAAAGTAATCGAAATTGCCTGGCGCTCCACAGGTAACAGCGTACCAATATGCTGGCCAACGTGCAACGCCAGCGAAGCTCAGCTAGCTGGCCTCGCTCGCGGGGCGCCCGCGGCGGAGCTAGCTAGCTAGCTGACGGAGACTTGTGCCAATCCAAGATGTCAGCCCACATGGACCACAAGACTTCGTCATCTTCGGAAGATGGTATTGAAAAGCAGCGCTTAGTGGATGCTGATTGGAACCATAATAGTAGAGGTGAGAGGTGATATGTATTGGAAGCTATTAGACTTCAATTTTAAGTACGTTCCTCAAGAGAACAGCTCTTATTAAAACCGAAATTTTAACCTATAATTTGTGTGTGGTCCCAGTCGTTGAAATTTGTGTCGGCTAGCTAGTTAATCATTCAATAGACCCTATTTCCCCAAAAAACAAAGAAATAATACACTTTTTCACAGGTTTCACGACAAACCGCTGCACAATACAGTTGCATATCATGTAGAGTACCGATGGCGCGCTTGTGTGAAGTTAGCGACTGTAATCCTAGATCCTCATTAAATTCATGTGAGTATTCATCATGACGGTCGCTAACTTCACGTGCGCCTGCACCCCACTGTCGGTACATTGCCGTGAATTCTGTGAGAAGGTGTATATTATGACTTATGAGTCTTCTTTTTAAGGAAAAATACTCAAATAAAGATAAGAAAATTGACACGAAACAGCTAGGTAACAAACATAACAACTTTAAAATCATGACCATTATTTGAACAAAGATTCAGTTGATTTTTGGTTTGTTTAGTCTAAGTAGAATATCTCCACGCCGGAGTTACGGGTCAAAGTCTGGATATGATTCTGAATTAGAAAAAAAGGAGAATACCGGTAATTAATGCTGCTACACTCTACCTTTATTGGTCTGTTTAACAGCCTGACCATGATTCATGTTGACACAAGCATATTTAATTATTTTTCTTCAGATGCAGTTAAAGGCAGAGCAACTCAGACAGACAAGTCAGACAAAAATAGCAGGACAAGGCATTTGATCATGTCTGAGGTCAAGAAACCAAGTATCAGGTACATCTAGTATTTTAGTTGTATGTAGTACCATAGACCTACTAAGGAGAATAATTGTCTGATTATAGGCAGAGACTTGTGTGTCCAAATTTTGTAGATGTAGAAAGATGTCAGCTATTTGTTAATGTAGTGGCTTTTACTGAACATGGCTCGCTGTTGACCACTGTACATACATTAACTCTAACTGCCTGAATATTTGTACATATTAAACCTCTCTCTCTCTTTTCTCATTCATTTGTAAATGTTCTCAAAGTTTATACTGAGGTTAATAACTAATATACTCATTTGATTTCTTTGGTATTCTGTAGGGAGATGATATATCAAGAGTCATATGACCAGTTGAATGAGGATCACAAGAATATGAAAGCTACACCAGAATTCAAGAGTTTTTTGGCCAAGAAACTTTCAAGTGCATTAGATGGGTAAGTACTATTTGACATCAGACCAATTTACATTTCAGTCCAAACATTGTTATGTCACGGTGGAAGTACCAGAGTACCGGAGTGTTGGCTCAGTCAGTAGAGCGTCTGCCTCACAACCGGGAGGTTGTGGGTTCGAACCCCGGTCGCGTCATACCAGAAGACGTTAAAAGACGGGAGTTGCTGCTACCTTGTTTGGCGTTCAACAATATGGGATAGAGCAATGTCGATCTAGCGCTGCTCAGTGGCTGCCGGGCTCACGATCAATTAGGCAAAAATAATTTCCGTTTCGGTTTAATAAAATTTGGAGTAGACTATTAGGCTATTATTATTATTATTATTATTAAGTAGACAAAACAGTTGCATATTGCAAAATGATAAATTGTGCTTGCATGAAATGTTCATGAATTTCGCGAGTGGTTGAGGTTCATGCCAAAGTTCATGCCACGAAAATGGCAATACACACATGACACAACAGCAGATTTTTGCAATTTGCGAAAGTTTCTTGGCAGATATGGCTGTTGTTAACATGTCGTGAAGGTTTCTGATTTAAAGTAATTTCTAATCAAAGTCCAGTTTGAAACAAAGAATTATTTTAAAATTACTCTTGTTTGTCTTCAAAATAATCAATAATCAAGCTCCACAATATTTAGAAACCTGTTTGAATTTATATACACCGGCCTGCATTAAGGTCAGCCAGTGATCCTCTCCGTCTCACATATTCAGTTACCCGCAAATTAGCCCGCGATAGGACATTTACTGTATCTGCTTCAAAATACTGGAATGATCTACCAATTAGAATTAGGCAGTCTACATCAGTTATTACCTTCAGAAAGGCCTTAAAAACACATCTTTTTTGCAGTTTGTAGTTGTTAGACTGTTTTCTTGTTCATGTATTTATGTAATTTTCATTTTCATTTACTGTATAAGCGCATTGGGCCTTATAGGAAAAGCGTGGTATAAGTAAACATGATAATGATAATTTTGATGTAGTGATGTCAGTGATAATGCGATGTTTGTATCGTAATGAACAGGCCCGAGAAAAAGACGTATTAGAGAAACCAACAAGTACACATACAAATGTGCGTTAAGCGTAGAAATATGAAATGTGTTTAATGGTGAGTATTGGGTGCATAATACATATTTTAAAAAATTGAAAATACTTGTTTCAAATCACCCCGATGACCCGAAACTTGCTTGAAATTTGTCCAGTTTAGCAACCATTAAAGGTAATACAAAGTTTTGGTATGGGATCATAAATTTGGTTCAAATGAATATATTGGAAGCATATGCGATCCAACAAAATCCTGTGATCATTGTCGCGGTTGAAATAGAGTCTTAAGTTATGAAATTGTAAATAATAAACTCTTTATGTTGTATAGCTCCCTCTCATGGTCAAGATATTAAATAAGCTATAAAACAATGTTTCTTGACTAAAATCAACCGATTAGCTATTCCCGTTTTTACATTATGTATCACAACTACATATTCTGAAATTTTCATGGTCGCAGCTACCATAGTACGGCCGTAGGCGCTATTTAAAATTTATCAAAATTTACCAGGAGCACCGGTAAATATTTATATTAAATTTTTCTCGAAAGCAGTAGTGTTTTAGGGGCAAAATTTTCTAGTGCTTATAATACATTCCCAGGGGCATCCAAATATATCAAAATTGTAAAGAATCACTATCCACCCAATTTTCGAAATTTCCCAAAACTTTGTATTACCTTTAATGCAAGTTTGTTTGTATTTATGGAGAAGACTTCATACATGTACAGTATATGTTGGATAGAATTCCTATACCTTTTTGCCATGTAGTGGTCTGCCAGGATAGTTTGCTTCTATTCTACCTTCGTCTTTTCTAACAGGAATGTGTAGATGCAAAGTCTTGACAGGTGACATTATGAAATCTGTTTGATTGGTCTTTTTCTTCTTTTTATCTTACTCAATTTACATACAGAAAACTTAAGATGACTGTGCCAGAAAAGGAAAAGACATTTAATGATGAAAACTCCAAAAAGAATGAGGAAGGTAAACATATCCTGATATGTTTCTTTGTTTAGATTTTAAAGAAAGCAGTTTTTCTCTTTTGAGCCATTTTTACAAAATTAATTCAATTTGATTACATGCTTGTTCTATGTTACCCCTGCATAACAGCTAGTATTTATTCTATTTTGTCTTCATCTTGAATTGTTATATGAAATAGCTTTTTCATCATCATGTGCTAGGGAAGGGCAAGGAGGTAAAATACAAAAGTTTGGAAAAGTGAATGGTATTCCTACTTTATTGCTCTGGTTAAAAAAAATGCTGGGGTTACATTTTTAAAGTGAGATTACTAATTTTTATATATTTTTATCCGGGACACCCCCCCCCCCACAAAAAAAAATGATAGAAAAAATGAATAAGAACAGGGCACTAATTTTAACAAAGGGAGCCAATGGATAGGGAGTACCTGTAAATTACATGTTTACCAAACTACCATCAATATGTAAACTTTTTGGTTTGTGTATTTTGGCAAAAGTTGTGCTTGAGCATTTCCAGTCCCACACTGCTGTCATTCTCATGAGCATCTAAATATGAGCATCTAAATATGATATTGAATGTATTATTATCTAAGTATTGCCAACTTTGTAAAGCGCTTAGAAACATTGTAATAAGCGCTATAGAAATATAATGTATTATTATTATTATTACTATCTGTGTCTTTATTTCTATTCCTTTTAATAGTAAAGATATTGCACACTCAAATATTCATTGAAAGTTCCACAGTTGGATAATACAGTTCAAGCAGGTTTTATAACATTCAGACATTCTTTATGTGATAGCACACAAGTTAATCCAAACTCTTCCTCTGTTTTTTCGCCCAGATACTTTCAGGTTGTTTTCCTCTTCCTGCTGTGCTCCTAATCTCAATACTCCTGAATCAGCACCTCATGTGAAGAGGAAGAGACCTCGTATCAGACGGAACACAAAGAAGCTTTCCCAAGACAACTATGATGACAGGTGATTTAATAACTCTCTACCTTCATTTCTGTATTGTTTTGTGCAGCCTGTTAGCCATTATAGGTGGTCATTATATCACAAATTTAAAATCTAAAGTAATTTTTTTACAGATCCAATTATTATCATTACTCTTTATTACTGTTACAGGCCTGATAAAAACCCGATTTAAATCGGTTTCCCGATTTTTTCCTGATTTTTTTTTCTTCTTCACGATTTAAAAAAAAAAAAAAATCCAGATTTTTTTAAATTTAAAAAAAAAATTTTACCAATTTTTTTTCTTCCCTATTTTGTCCTGATTTTCCTGATTTCCCTCTTATTTTCTCTATTCTTCCCTATTTTCTTACACGAAAGGGGGGAATGTTAGATGTCATTTTTTTCCCCGCGAATCCTCTTTTTTTTTTACTCAAGGGGGGCGTGGTTGAGGGGAAAACGAAAAACCTTTTTTTTTTTAGTGCTCACTATCACCCCTGTGTTATTATCATTATTATAATAAGTCGGTGGGGATATAGTAACGCTGCCGACTGTCCGTGCTTCCTTCCGTCCGTTCGTAACAAATTTGGTTTCCAATCGATAACTTCAGTAATGTTTGATGGACTTTAATGAAATTTGATATGATGGTACATGATATCAAAATACAGGGTAAGTTCGATTTCGGAGTATGTAGGTCAAACGTCATAGCTCATTAAATAAGCGAAGCTGGTTTCTGTTAGATAACTTTCGTAAGGTTTGACAGATTTTAATGAAATTTGATATGAAGGTTCATGGTATCAAAACACAGCATAAGTTCGATTTCAGAGTATGTAGGTCAGTGGTGAGAGGTCATAGCTCATTGAATATGCAAAAAAACCTAGTTATATATGTGAAAATATGGTTTATAACTTCCTTGCCTAGTAATATAATATTATAGTCTAATGGAGGTAACTTGTTCTAGCTTATATAGGCCATTTGTACCCTGCAAGGGGATGCTACACTTTGCGTTGACTTGTTATAAGTATTATTATTATTAATAGTAGTAGTAGTATTTGTACTAGTACATAAACTATTCATGTTTGGAAGTGCTTTATTTGCCAGACATGTGCTGTCCAAGAAATCATTGATAATTATTATTACCGGTATTAAATATATTTTTTCTCTTTTTCTCTCTCTACAGCAGTGATTCAGATGTTATAGATCAAAGACTAGCCGAAGCAGCTATTTCAGGAAATGAGATCCTAAGCTTCTCTGCATTATCAACTCCCACTGGTCACAATGCTGAAGAAGTACAATATAGCAGTAGTGATGACAGTGCTTCCCATCTGCAATCTAAGAGAACTAGAACAGTTGATGATGCTCTCATTAAAAAGGAAATTGGATTCAAGCATACGGAGGTTGGAGATGATGAGTTTTTGCAGGAGAATGTTAAAAAGAAGAACAAGAAAAAGAAGAAGAAGAAGAAGGAGGATACAAACGCAATTCATGATGATGGTCATGAGCAAGTGCAAGCAGAAAACTGTCTGACCCAAATAGTTAGCTCATCAGAGCTTCTAAAAGAGAATGAGCAAGATGATTTATCTGAGAAAAACATTCAAAAGAAGAAAAAGAAGAGGAAAAAGATGGATACAAATGCAATTGATGGTAATGATTATGAGCAGTTGAAAGGAGAGAGTTGTCTTACTCAAATGGTTAGCTCCACAGACGTTTTAAAGGGGAAAGATCGAGCCGATTCATCTGAGGAGATTGTTAAGAAGAATAAAAAGAAGATGAAAAAGAGAGTGGATACAAATGCAAGTAATGGAGATGATCATTAGCATGTCTAACTCGAAAACTGCCTGACCTAATCAGCTATCTGTAAAGAATGTTCGGATGAGAAAGATCAAGATAAATTATCTGAGGAGAATTTAAAGTAAATGAAAATAATAAAATGGATACAAATTCAATCATTCAAGATGATGAGCAAAGTGTCGTAGTCGAGTGGCTTAAGCACTAAACTTGAAATGCGAAGGTCGTGGTTCAATCCCCGACATGGCACTAATGTCCTTTGGCAAGGCATTAATCTTCATTTGCCACACTCGACCCAGGTGAGGCAAATGGGTACCTGGCAGGAATCAATTCCTTGAAATGCTGGAGCGCTGTAATGGCAGCTAGGCTAGAGCCGGGGTAATAATAAATGCGCCTCGGAATAGAATTTCTAGATAGACAGTGCTATAGAAATGCTTATTATTATTACTATTAAAATGAGCAAATCAAAGAAGAAACCTGTCCAGATTCAACTGATACTTCCTCTCCGCTCTCTCTCACATAGTGAATAATTAACAGGTTGACTTGCATTCTGTCTGCAGCCCTATAGAAAAGAATATAAAGAACAGGAAAAAGAAATGCAAGCCAGGGGGGTGTTTCACAAAGATTCTAAGTCAAACTTAACTCTAAGTTGGACTTAGATATTATGGAGAGCATGGGTGTCGATCCGTAACTGATACCTATTCATCAGGGGGGGATGATCTATTCATTCATCCCCCCCTGATGAATAGGTATTACGTAAGAATCGACACCCATGATGGAGAGCCATTTGTAGCCTTAAAATTAAATATATTCAAAAGCGAAAATTCAAGCATTTTAGACTTTTTATAAATTCCACATCAAGAACATGAAATCTCTTTGATAATAGGAAATATGAATGACTCGAATCAACATTTGATGCCTTTTAAAATAACTTTTACAAAATATTTTCATAGATGATAATGGCTTTCCATAAATTTTGAGTCCAACTTAGAGATAAGTTCAACTTAGGATCTTTGTGAAACACCCCCAAGGAGAAACCTTTGAGCAGAGTGTTGAGTAGAATCATTCAGCAGCTGGATCAAGTTTCATGAAACACTACCTCTCTGAAAAGTTAATTAACGTTTAGAAGAAGCATTAGGGATTGACAGAAAGATGAGGAGGTAGAATGAAAAGGAGAGGAGGAAAGAAGAGTTGAGACAAGGTTATATGAAGAAAGATTAAGAAGGATTGCTGCAATAGACCAGTTCACGGTTAGCGCATGTCCACAATGACCCCGATTATCCACACATCTTCAAAACATGAAGAGGTCCCACTTTGTACATTTTGAAATAATCACTCCTACAGCAATGGAGGTGCTACATAAAAAGCCTTCATTTCCCCTTTTCAAAGAATACTTCCACCTGTGTATCATGGAGTGCACTGCTTGTGCATAAATGAATAATGATTACATAACTTTCATTAGCATGTATCCATTATTTTGTCTCTGTGTATTTCACAATTTGGTCTGCAATGACCTTTATCTGCTCATGCTCAGACTACTATGAACTGGCTTATTGGTAGGTAACAAAATATGAAATGTATTCTGAAGATTTTGTATTAATTAATTTCTTTGTAAAAGAACAAGTACCGGTACATGTACACAAAAAAGGAACCTCTTTGTTTTCTAAAGTCACATGATGTTTGTTGTCTTAAGGATTTATATTGTCATAATTCTATATTCATTTCAAGGAACAAGGCGTGACTTATTGCTACAAATAAAGTATTAATGATTATCATGATGAAAATGATATAAAATGTATATGAACAGAACTTTGTTTGATTTATTTTCTTGTTTTTTTATAAAGTTGTCATTCTTACATTTTATCTCGTCGGGAAGAGAAAGGGAAGGCAATGATGAGATAGAAGGCTTGAGAGATAACCAACAAAGTGGATTAAGAAAAGATCAACACAAATTGTGAGAGCTACTGAGAGAGTGAGAGAGAGAGAGAGAGAGAGAGGGAGAAAAAGGGGGGGGGGGGTTGAGAGAAAGTGTGAAATGAGAGAGCATAAGACAAAAAAAGGGTCAGGTTATGAAGATGACAGAGAGCAACAGAGGAAAAGTCAAAACATAGAGATAAGGGAAAATGGCGAGTCAGCACATAGAAAAGGAGCGTGATTGAAACCCAGAAATTCATAAGCGAAATACGTGTACAAGCTTGTACACATGAAAAGAAGAGAAGAGATGGGGGAAAGTAGTGAGGAACAGAAAACGAGAAATAGTTGGTGGCGAAAGGTAGTGGAAACAAGGAATAAAACATAAGAGAAAATAATTTCATGTCAATTCAGTCTGAAAACTGTGACTAAGGAATTATTTCAATAATAGATGTACTTTTGATCAATAGGGCCTAAATCTATTATTTCATTTCATAGGATACAAAAGAAAAAAGTAATTTTCTCAACTTGTTTTGTATTTCTTGTTTGAAATTTTGTAATAAATTTTGATAAATGCCCCTTTCGTCAAAGCAAAACCATTTTCAATCGGTTTCTTCTTCCTTTCCATCTCGCACCTTTTATTCCAATCCCTCTTTCTTTCATCCCCACTCTCTTTCCCCACCATCTCTATCTCTCTCAATTGATCACTTTCCCTTTGTTTCAACAATCGGTCCTTTTCTCTCAGCAATTTCCCATCATCTCTCTGGTCAAACAATGTTCATAAAATATTCTTTATAACAGCTTCTCTCTCATGACAAAATGCACACAAACAAATCATACAAACATCAATGTATAAAAAAAAACTTTCTTTGAAGTAGATATGTATTTGTCTGTACAGTATGTACATAACCCATCAAATAGCAATTAGTAAAAATAGGATATAGGTCATTATCAAATATGTTATTTATAGTTTATAGCCAAAAGTATACAAAGATTCAGAGAACTGAACATGGAAGTGTCGGCCGCCATTACTAGGGGCCATCAATTATGCTAAAAAAATAGTTTTAAAGGTAAAGACCGGTAGTGGTAAAATTGCGGATCAAGGGTTTCGGGTGCAAAATATGCATTCAGTATTGTTTGTATATTGTCTTCAGAGATTTAGATGGCAATACTTAAAAATAAATTCGCAAAAAAACAGAAATATATGCTCAAATGTTCAATGTTGATATGCATTCACGATATCTATCCAGGCAGGATCGATATGATAATTTACCAATATATCAGTTAGTAGGAGGTTCTCAGCAAAATTTGTATCATCACATATTAGTCAAAACGTATTCTTTCACATGATTGGTGATAAGAGCTTCCATTTCATTTTTTGAGAGGGAGGTGTTTCCAAAACTGGTCTATACCTTTAATGTACCCACTTTAGTTCAGGGACAGCACTTGTCTGATTACATAAAACATTGAATCGTCTCTTGTTATGGCCTTGGATGGCCCCCAGTTATGGTGGACGAAGCGCTACAGAAAAATGGACACCCTATTCATTGGCCAGTATTTTCCCTTATGTTTCTGTCTTTTTTTCCTTGGGGTGAGGGTGGCTGACTGCATAATTCAATTTAAAAGGTGACATGTAAACAAACTGGGTATAATCCTGGGCCTAAGTAAATAATAATAATAATAATAATAGCTCACATTTATAATGCGCCTAATACTTTGTTTCTAGGCGCGGAACATATTATTATCGGATTCAGGCTTACCCGCAACACAATGTATGCACATTTTCCACTCCCTGGGGAGCATTCAAGCCAGTCACCATTTGAAGTTGTAGGTTTCTGTGTGTTTCAACAGGGCCATATCTAAATAACGGTACTTCTCGCAAAGAATATCTGCACAAAAACGGTGCACGTACATTTATCTGTAATACTGTTTTCCCCCCCAAAAAATAACAGAACTCCACATGAGCTGAGAGCAAATACATGTATACACAATTATGGAGCTCTTGGGAAAATGCAAATTTTTTACACAAGCAGTATGTACACATCAAATGAAATAAATCTTTTCTGAGAATTTGCTAGATGTTCACTACGACATTTCACAACAATCAAACTACTCTGCATATTGTGCTCATCCAAATAAAAATGAAAATAAAAATTTAAAAAAGAAGAGACGAGGAAACATAATTTGCTATATTCATTACTTAACATTCACAAATTCCATACCATGTTCTATATACATGTACATGTATATAGAACATGGTGTATATGGAATGATCAAATTGTCTTTCTTGATCAACTCAACTAAAAGAATCAATGACAATTGTAAATTAGACTCATATATTGATACTGAAATGTTTAAATCTGTGCTTGGCATTGCCAGGTTATTGTCTGCAGTATATCCCTGGAACACACTTCTCATGTCACTTTGATAATAACAAAGCACAAGTGAATATGTTTCTGTTATAATTCAATGTTCACATTGTAATCAGAAGAAAGAAAGAAAGAAAAGAGACCCCCCAAAAAGTCACAATCAATGAATTGAGATAATGTTCCAAAGAACTTTAAGGAAGACCAAGGGGGTGTTTTAAAAAGACTAAGATCAACTTTAAGTTGGACTCGAACTCAGTATGCCAGGCCAGTCGTGCCACTGGTTGCTCTCACCATTGGTCTATCAAGGGACGCCACAATTCTACAGAATTTTTGATAGTTCGTTGTTGAAGAATTTTGTTTACTTACATCGTAAATTTGAGTTATATTTATTCTATGGTATGCGATTTATGCCCTAAAACAGTATTGAACCAGATGTAAAAATAGAGGGGAAAAACCTAAAAAAAATCATGATTTTTAGATATTTTTTCCTTCAATAAAGTACTGCTAAAGCCAGGGTAATTATGCTGCATTATTGTAGAGCGCTTAGGGACTTCTGATAAAGTAAGTGTTAGGCGCTATATAAGCAAATATAATTATTATTATACAAAATGTAAATTCTGTAGATTTGTACGTCCCTTGAGAAACCAGTGCCAGGAATGGTTAGAGGAACTAGTGGCATGAACGGCCTGCCATAGTTCAAGTCCAACTTGAGTCGATCTTAGTCCTTGTGAAACACTCCCCAGCTGTAATATATCTTTTAAAATATATCAATCGCCTGAAAAATAATTTGTATAAACATGTACATGTAAGTACATGTGGAATGTATAAAATCAACCTTTAAAAAAACTCCCCCAAAATATGGCATTCTATAGGTAAATGATTAAGGAGTATGGAGAAAATAAATGATAACCCAAAAACCTGTGTATAGGGTTCACACAGAACCCAAGTTGGACTAGGGTTCCTTCCGTGAACTACTCTATTTAAGTGTGAACACATACATGCAGTGGCGTACGCAGGATTTTTTCAAGGGGGGGGGTGGGGTTTTTTTTTAAAATCGGGTCCAAAATTTTGCAACGGCCAAAAAGTCGCTCAGTGGGGGGGAGGGGGGGGGGGGGGGGGGGGGGGGGGGGGGTAAGCGGACACTTTTTTTTTTTTTTTTTTGGTAGTCCAAAAAAAATCGCAACGACTCAGCCAGCCGAAAAGTCGCTCAGTGGGGGGGGGGTAAGAGGACACTTTTTTTTTTTTTGGTCTCGAAATTTGAAAATTTGACATTTTGTTCCGTTGGGGGGGGGGGGGGTAAGGTCACCTTTCTTAGGTGAGTCATGGGGGTAATTTTTTTTTTTTTTTTTTTAATAATTAAAAAAAACAATTAAAAAAAAAAAAAAAAAAAATTACAAAGGGGGGGGGGGGGGGGGGGTTTTAGGGATTCTTTATGGGGTTTACACACATAAAAATACCAAAGGGGGGGGGTTTAACCCCCAAACACCCCCCCCCCCCCCCCCCTGCGTACGCGCCTGCATACATGTGTCAACTACTCAACTAGTCTACTGAACAAGACGTTTTCCTGTTGTTCATTGGCAATGTATTTAAATAACAACATCTCTTTATAAAAGAAATATTTGAAGCTCAGTGTTTGACTTTAGTGTAGCTACATTAAACCCCTTACATCAAGAGCAAAACAGGTTTAGGTGATTGGTACACTTCAAATTCATGCAGTATGCAGCTGGTTGTATGCATGAAAGGTACCAAAAACATTTTGACATGGTATTGAAAATACTTGGATTAAAATATAAATTATAAAATCACCCAAATTTGAGAAAATTATCAAAGTTTAGTATGAGGAATGTCAATAACAATTAGAATGGTTAGAAACAGAGTTAGAATTAGAAATTATCTGATCATAAATATCACCATGATTAGAGGAGTAATTCCAAGAGAATTCCCTAACAAAGTCTGTAATCATGTTATCTTGGTTCACATCAAGTTTTTCATCCTTGAGATATCCCGAAGAGAGAGTGGGACCGGCACCACCTTCAATAGAAAAAACTAGTCTTTTGATCTGTAACTTTGCCTTATTTCATAAACTCATCTTCCTGCTACATATAAGTTTGAGAAAAGTTTTTTGAGAGCTTGATAGTCCCTGATACTAGTTTCTACTCAAAAACTGTATAGAGATAGGACTTTTACTACATGCATTGTTATGCCTCTGCCCACCAAAGGTGGTGCCGGAGGCATGTGTTCAGGGTGAAACTGAGTGAAACTTGAAGCCCTCATTCTATGCACAACAAATAGGGTGAATAACACACTACCGGTTCCAAAATTCAAAATTTGAAAAGAAAAATGACAGTAATTTTGCTAATAAGGAATATTTTGCCACAATACTTTCAGGAAGTTTTCAATTATGTTTTTTAGGCTTTGGTTCTAATGAAAATTTCTTACAGAAAGCAGCACACATGTTTGATCTGACTATTACATAAGAATAGAGAAAAATGCATGTTCTGCACAAGGCATTCAGTGTTAAAGAGGCCATTTTAGTTGAGAAAGGTTTTCAGGTAAGCGCATTGTTTTTAAATATTCTATGGTGATGGGTCATCCAGATTAGATAGTCTTATATCAAGCTTCCAGCTCCTCTCTACCTTACTACTTAAAACTCTCTCTACTTGTTTTCCCTTTTTAACTTTCCTGCCCTTTGTTCTTCCAGTTCTTCCCAGCCATGGGGTCTCGGTAAAAGCAACAGTGCGTTTCATCTTTCTCGCTCCAAGCAGATTCACAGGAGTGCCCGTTGCCCTTCTCTTTGGACTCTCAAAGATTGTCTCTAAGTGATGCTTCTTCAAAGCTGCTCCTTTTTTGAGATACATCAATTTTATCTTATTTGAGATCTGCAAGTTTCTGTTGACTGATCCCTCAGTCCCTTTATCTTTGGCTTGTCGTGCACCGGCCCCTGGCTCAGCATCACCAACTTTCTCTGCAGGAGTCTTTTTCTTTCGTTTCCTGCCCACACTAGAAGTGTTCTTTAGATGACGTTGCTCTTGTGCTTGCAGAGCATCATCATTTTCTTTGTCCTTCTCTGAAATCCTGGAGACTCTTTTCTTCTTACCCATGAAAGGTGTGTCTTTAGAGAGGCTAGTTGCCTTAGCCGCTGATTCTTGGAAGTCGATGACCTCTGAAGACTCTCCATAGTCATGACAACCATTTAGATCCATTGGAGAATCCTCTACATGTGGTTTCAGAGCTGTGAATAACTCCCCATCCATCTGTGACTCCTGGGAGGTATTATCGCATTTCATAATGTTCACTTCTTGCAAAACATTATCTTGCAGATATCCAGGTACAATTTTTGTTCTCTTGTAACTTTTAGTAGCCTTGCTGGGTTCTACTTCTCTGTTTTCTTGCCCGGAATCTGTATCACATTTTGGCTGTTCTCCTAGCTTCTTCACTAGACGTATAGATCTTCTCCTTTTAGAGCACCGCTCCTTCTTCTTTTCAGATGGCTGGAATGCATCTTGTCTTTCAAAAGGAAATTCAGTCTCGCTTTCAATCATGTTGTAACCAGAATCATGAACATCTTTGGATACATTGATCATGGAAGTAGTTTCGGCTAAGACAGCCAATGCATTGTCGTGATTGTCTGGCATATGCGTATCCTCAATCAAAACATTTGGTCCATCCATGTAAGTAGCTTCTTCCATTCCTCCACAGACCTTCACCTCTGACTTATCTGTAAGTTCCAAAAGTGGGATATGGACCCCACTCAACCGTGCTGATTTTCTCCTACCAGATCTTTCCTTAGGGGTCTTGGCAAACTGACTTTCACCAAACATATCCCCTGGCATCCAGTTGTCGCCCAATCCAAAGTCAGCAAAATCTGCCAAGAAACCAGTGTCACACATATTTCCTTTCTCATCTGCTTCAGGCTTTTGGACAACAGCGTGATTGCCTTCATCTAACTGTATATTTTGTTCCAATAACCTGACAGATCTCCTTCTTCCATTCTTGGTTTTCTTCTTTTTTTGAGCCATGGGAAGGTCAATGTTTACATGTACTAACTCTGTAGCATCATTAGGTACCCTCATCATCAGTGACATCATAGTGGGACCCTCTATCGGCCCAGACTCCACAGTTTTGAGCTTGTTACAATCCAATGTACATTTCTTGGGGCTGCTCTCTCCTAATTCTGGCAATGGATGAAGGACATGTTCAGATTCATGCTGGAAACTAGCAATTACATGTTCCTGAGTAATGTTCTGATCATAGGTTGGTAATGTATCATTGGCTACCTCTATATGTAAATGTTCATGGCCAATATCACAGGGTGTATTGAACAGAGACTCCCTTCTGGCGATCCTGACAGATCTTCGTCTTTCACCAACTGTATTAACTTTCCTCCCCCTCTTTTTCTTCTCGGGTGGTGCTGATGGATTAGCACTCTTCTCTTCAACCATGGGAATACTCTCCGGCTCTTCAAAACCAATGTCCTTGGATTGAGATGTATCTGGATTCGTATTGTTCTGAGATTCCACAGATTTGTTGAAGGGGTCTTCCATGTTAAGGAAGTCTGCAAGTTGATCCAGTTCATGGGCATCCTGAGGAGCCCCCATTGACATTAGAGAAGAATTCATGTTCTCTGAAACAAAAGATGTTGAAGGAGATGTTTGTGGTTGTACTTCTGGTTCCCCTTGGTATTCAGCCCTCTCATCTTTCGACTCTTTGCCAGCATACATAGGTGAAGTATTCAGGTAATCTGCACAGTGTCCAGTCTTGTCCTCATATGTACAGCAAACCTCATCTGCTGTTTGGCCTTCTGTGACAGCTAGAGATGTATTCTCAAAATACAGCTCTGAGTCCTGTGGTGTTTCAATTTTAGGGGACGTAAGATGCTCATTGTCTAAAGGTTGATGGTACGATGCAGACGCTGCTATGGGAGCGATCTGTTCAAGTTTGTCCTCTTCAGGATACTTCTGTTGGTCTAATCGTTCCAGAATACATTCCTCAACTTCATGTTGTATGCAGGGTGTATGTTGCCGACTGTCTGTTTCACTGGCATCAAAGGATCTCTGAAAGCAACTGTCCCCAAACTTGTTACACTTGTCAGCACTTTCTTCAATATAATAATGACCGTTTTGAACTTCAGCATCTAATGCAACCTCATCATGATTCTGCGCTTCTTTTTGCAAAGATGATTCCTTGTTCATAGCATCGTTCCTTCCTTATTAGCTTCAAGAGGACCTTCAGGGAGCTGAATAATGTCACAGGTTATTCTATCTGGGGAACTATCTTTAGGAGAATCGCTTTCTGCTTTGCCTGGAGTATCCATGTCTTGAAAGGACATATCAAAGTTGTCATAAGCACATTGATCTCTGTACAGGTGGGCCCCTGGCGGTGTTTCATACATGTCATAGTCCATAAACCCATTGAAGGAAGATGAAATGCCATCATTTCCAAAATGGGGTGTTGTCTCTTCCTGATCATGAGTGGTCAAAGTTGGACGATGCTGGGCAGGAGTCTGGGCTTCTGGCCGCATTTCCCAACTCTCTGGTGTAGCACAGTCGCCTGGCCCCTCGGCAGGCATTCGGGGTGTTGAAATCAGTTCCTCTGCCATGGTGTAATATCATCACAGATCTATGTTTAAAAAAAGAAGAAAGACAGTCATAGAAATATTATATTGGTTTGTTTTTGGGGGGAATAAGGATTATTCTAGAATACATGTTGAGGCTTAACTCTTTGTTTGCTTTGTTCGCCGATTTGCACGGACGTAGGCGTGCCAACTTCGCATTTTTGCACAGATGTATACGAGTCAATTAGACATTCATAATACCGCTCGCAGTGTGTAGCCACGCGTTGCGTTTACTATTGTTTACATTGTATACATCGCACACTTTCCGGTAAACTGTTTTTCTTCATAGTGTTACATTCGAAATTACCGTGTATTTAGCGGTTTTCTTTGGATTTTTTTTACTGATGTTACGATGGCACCTGCTGGAAAACGTCAACGTGTGTTTAGTGTAGAGGAGGCTCGAGATCTTGTTACTATGGAAGCATGGAGCATGGACTCTGATTCCGACGAATCGAGCAGTGACGAAGACTCTAGTGATAAAAGTGTTCCCTGAGAGTAGACTGATAGAATAAGAATGAATAAAAATTAATGAAAGAGCTAGAGATGACAGGAAGAAAGAGAGTAGACTGATAGAATAAGAATGAATAAAAAAAATGAAAGAAGGAGATAGAGATGACAGCAAGAAAGAGAGTAGACAGTGATAGAATAAGAATGAATAAAAATAATGAAAGAAAGAGATAGAGATGACAGCAAGAAAGAGAGTAGACTGATAGAATAAGAATGAATAAAAATTAATGAAAGAGCTAGAGATGACAGCAAGAAAGAGAGTAGACAGTGATAGAATAAGAATGAATAAAACTAATGAAAGAAAGATGTATCCTGTCTTGCCGTCATCTTTATATCTTTCTTTTATTATCTTTATTCATTCTTATGCTATCAGTGTTTACTCTCTTTCTTTCCGTCATCTCTATCTTATTATTATTATCATTTTCCTATCTATATGTACCCTATGTCTTGCCGTCATCTGTATATCTTTTTCTTATTATCTTTATTCATTATTATGCTATGAGTGTAATACTCTCTTTCTTGCCGTCATCTCTATCTCATTATTATTATCATTTTCCTATCTATATGTACCCTATGTCTTGCCGTCATCTCTATATCTTTCTCTTATTATCTTTATTCATTCTTATGCTATCAGTGTTTACTCTCTTTCTTTCCGTCATCTCTATCTTATTATTATTATCATTTTCCTATCTATAATTATGTACCCTATGTCTTGCCGTCATCTCTATATCTTTCTCTTATTATCTTTATTCATTCTTATGCTATCAGTGTTTACTCTCTTTCTTGCCGTCATCTCTATCTTATTATTATTATCATTTTCCTATCTATATGTACCCTATGTCTTGCCGTCATCTGTATATCTTTCTCTTATTATCTTTATTCATTCTTATGCTATCAGTGTTTACTCTCTTTCTTGCCGTCATCTCTATCTTATTATTATTATTATTTTCCTATCAATATGTATCCTATGTCTTGCCGTCATCTCTATATATTTCTCTTATTATCTTTATTCATTCTTGTGCTATCAGTGTTTACTCTCTTTCTTTCCGTCATCTCTATCTTTTTATTATTATCATTTTCCTATCTATATGTACCCTATGTCTTGCCGTCATCTCTATATCTTTCTCTTATTATCTTTATTCATTCTTATGCTATCAGTGTTTACTCTCTTTCTTTCCGTCATCTCTATCTTATTATTATTATCATTTTCCTATCTATATGTACCCTATGTCTTGCCGTCATCTCTATATCTTTCTCTTATTATCTTTATTCATTCTTATGCTATCAGTGTTTACTCTCTTTCTTTCCGTCATCTCTATCTCATTATTATTGTTATTTTCGTATCAATATGTATCCTGTCTTGCCGTCATCTTTATCTCTTTCTCTTATAATCTTTATTCACAGTAAAGTCCTTTCATTTCATATCACTATTTCTCTCTCATAATGTCTCTCACGTCCGTTCTCCATATTTTATTCATTGCATACTCCACTCGTCAATCATTTCTGATAATAAGCTCTCTCACAATAAAGTAAATGGAAAACAATGCAATATAGTTTATATTTTAAGATTGATTCATTCTTTCTTTGTATATCTATGGCTGTGATAAATGTACTTGAAATCAATTTTATTGAGGGGTAAAGAAGGTGAGAGAACAGATGCGGTGAACATTCATAATGAGACATTTCAATAAGATGCTGATTATGTCATGTATATCACATATAATATATTATGCCTATACCATTTTTACATGCTCATACCAGTGGGCAAAATCAATAACATTCTCTTATTTCTTATTGACTTATCATGGCACAACAAAGAAAAACATCCCCACGACGTCCCTTTTCATGCCCCGCTAAACCGGACATTGACAATAACCTGGGGTAATAGGGATTTCAATGGGCAGATTAGCCCATTGTCAAGGGTGGCTGAGCGGGGTACTTTCAAGTCTCTCCCTATTGAACTTCTTTTCTTCAACAACCTAAATACTAACCTTCTGAATTGTTAGAATACTTGAGCAAGGTATGTAAAGAAAGGTAAGAAGTCCACCTTTCTAATAGATTCGATTTGAAGATGTCTTATCATTGCTAAATAAGAAATTCTAGAGGGATAAAAAACTGCCGTAAATAAGAAAAATTAAACATTATATAATTATGATTATTATAAAAATGATAATTCAAAATATAACAAATGACGATTCATCGAAAAGCACGTTTTCCGGTCTACAACTTTGCTGCACAATATTTTTCATCATGATCATCCAGTGAAGAGTTATAGCCTCTTGATTCAGCAGAGTCAATAAAGATTCCCTCGAAATGTGTGACCCTAAAAGAATGTGGCACAGGGGGGTTTTTTAAGTGGCGCATAAAGAGTTAAAGGGATCCGGTAACTTTGTCTCAGATTCTGAAACAAAATTCTGGATTTAGCTCATGATGCAATGATAATTATAAACCTTTAGGTCAGTCAGGAACCCCATGACTTTTACAAGCCGATCGCCCGTCTGATTATTAAGATATTTATGATTGGAATTACAAATTTTGAAAACCGTTCGCCTGACGGTTTTCATAACACTACAGTCTATTGGGGAAAACGAGTATGGTAAAACCGGTCACTCAAAGATTTTTACTTTTTTGAGGCACTTCTTGATCATTTTGAAGCGCAATTTTTTTAGGGATTCAATATTACACCATATCACAGACACTTATAACACGTAGGGCCGTGTATCTCAGATTTAACATTGTTAAACGATCCCTTTAAGAATTGTCAGTGCATTTGAAGGCAAAGCTCAAAAGAATGTAAGAAAAGACTTTGTTTTTACTTGGACTCAGTTAACTGTTCCTTTTATCATACAATATACACAAATCTGCCTTGCACCTAAACAGTACAACTTTACATGTACACCTGACGGTAGCCTGTACTGCAACTGAAGAAGAAGTGTTTCCCTTCTCAAACCGGCAGTAACGTTTGTGATCTCATAGACTTTCTCGGATTAATCATTAATTTCAGATCTAAATGAGCAAGCTATCGTAGATTTAAGACAAAGTAAATATTTCTGTGTTATTTTTTATCTTAAAGCTTATCTGCCATAGTTTACAGGAGGGATTACACCACCCTGCAAGGTCACTGGACAGGTGGTTATCTCATCAACTCAGCTCTCAGTTAACATAAGAAAAAGAGGATCATGGGGGACCAATGGTCACCGATAAGGCATTGTTTGTTATATAGAGGGCGCAAGTAGCTTCAAGTAGTGCAGTGGGCCTTTAAATAAAAATCAGTGTAATATTGCAGCCAAAGGAGATAGACCCTATATGAAGACGTAAAGAGTGAAAACTTGTTGCATATCTCATTCATCGCGGTCCGGCCGATCCGAACCATTCCTCCCGTACAGTCCCCCATAGGACGATCTTCAGTCTATGTATAGATCTATAGGCGGTCAGAGCTAGGAGCCAGATGCAATCTCAGCGGAACCGTCGATATCAGAGAACAGAGACTAGACTGAAGCTTTCGGTCTATGACTCTCTAGAGCCTATGCTTTGCTGGAGTGGTATGAAGGGGTGACCAAAGTTCGCGGACAATTTAGAAAATATACATGTAGGCCAGGATCTATTACAAAATGTGATATTTGATCTAGAGTCTAGACCTATGATTTCTCATTCTACACAAATTTATTTAGATCTAGACCTAGATCTATTTCAATTATTACCAAATGGACGGCAAAGTTTTTTTTACTTCAAATTGGTTCAACTAGAAAAATTTATCGTCAAAGGATTTTGAAGATCCTTCTTCTTCTTCAAGATAATCTGCCTCCTTCAATACTGAAGATTCTTGCAGATGCCGTATACTTGGCCTGATTGGGGTGTGCAGGTTGATCATTACACCAGGGTTTCCTCCTACTATACAAATAGTGCAATGGGTTCTTAACGTGCAAGGGTGGTGACTCTCCTGTACACGCTGTACACAGGGCCTCCATTTAACGTCCTCCTATCTGAGGGACGGAGTGTTTTCCATTTGACATAACCTGCGTCTATGAACAAGGGAAGGGGCATTTAACACACAACGCAGACTTCAGTCATCCGTCTGGGTGGGAGTCGCACCCGGGATCTTTGGTTCGACAGGCAGACGCTTTACCAACTGAGCCAACTCCCCTCGCGCCTCCTCGAGATATCGCGATTTAAAAATTTGATGTCCGATTGTGCATGCCGCGCTGCATCAAAAAAAGTCTTTAAAAAAAAAAAACGAGACCTAACTTCAGGGCACAGGGGTTTAGATCTAGACCTAGGATATCTGGTCTCAAAATGATGATTTCCAGACCCTAAAAGTGATAACTTTTCAGAACGGACGCAAAAGTCAGACTGCAAAATTTGCCGATCTTCTCGACTTCTGTTCTGACGTTCTGTCAATAATTTTCACAATTTCAAACCCAACTCAAAAGAAAATTTCGTTTCTGGTTAATTTTATGATCCTCTTTCCATTGGTGGTATCAGATATTCGAAATCTTACCGATTTTTTTGAGAAAGCGAACTTTCGTCACACCACCATACTAGTATACTAGCAAGCACATAAGTCTACATTACATAGTCTACATAGACGGCCACGCGAGACGAAATTGGTGGGACTGAGGCAAAGATTGTTTGGCTTCTTGAAATCAAGTCGAAGAGCAAGAGGTAGACCTAACATTAGAAAAACTCTTTGTCTACAAATTAAATATATAAATCAAGCATTTTCTTCATTAAGCTTTACATGTAGAAAAGAATCGAGAAACTAGCGTTTTACCTCTTTTTCCGGCAGAAATCCGATAGTCACGGTCCATTTTTTTCAAATTTTGAGCGTATTATATTTCCTAGGCACAAAAGTAATTTAAATGATTCTCATATTTTATTCAAAATTAATAAAAGTTGTGAGTTTTAAATAATATGTATTTAATTTTTTATATATTTACATATTTTTTAAATGATTTATTTATCAAATCAAAATTTGATTGGAGAATCATTTAAATGATTGAATATCTATCAACTGTTGATATTGAAATAACAGTAGTTTGCAAATTGACAACAGAAGAGGGCGCGTTAAAACTTTTGCAAATCTATCGAATTACTTGAACCCCACGTATGCTCTTTCCCCCTTTCTTTCTGTCTTTCGTTTTTTCTTTCTTTCTGTCATCGTTGTATCGATGTATTGGGCGCTATTTAAAAACGGAATATCATAATAAATTATTATTAATACTTCTTCATTTTCTTTCTGTTCTTATCTTTCTTTTCTTTTCTGTTATGTCTATTTTACTGTGAAGTGCTTATATAGAGACATCGTCAATGGGTGATATATTATTTGATTGTGAATGTGATTATAAATATTTTAATAATTTGTTTTAATGATAGGGCATATACTTTTTCTTTAACGTAATGACCTAATTAATGGACAGCTCTTTGTAATGATTACAATTTATGAGCATTTTCATCTCGCTCCCGCCTATAGCATATGTTTGGGCAATAATTTACCAGTCATTTTCTCCTTCGCTTTCTCTCTCTCTCTCTCTCTCTCTCCCTCCCTCTCTCTTCTCTCTCTTCTCTCTCTCTCTCTCTCTCTCTCTCTCTCTCTCTCTCTCTCTCTATCTCTTTTCTCCTTTCGCTCTCTTCCCACTCTCTCTCTATTCATCTATGTAATCTATAATTATATCTACCAATCTATCTATTTATCTATCTATATCTGTCTATTTTTCTCTCTCCTCTCTTTCATTTCATTCTACTCGATAGATTTGCGACCGCTCTCGCTTCAATCTTCGATATTAATTATGGGCCAAGATACTTCAACAACATATTTTGCGGAAGTTGGTCTGGAGATTGAAGATTCATTCATGAGCGAGTGAAATTTCTAAGATTTGCATGTATGAGCTAATGAGCTATAATAAGTCGCATTGCGACCAATTAGATCGTATCATTAAATAAATTAACCATTCCTGATTGCCGGGTTTTAGCATAGACCTACCATGGTTTTAGCCACAAACTGAAAATGATTGAATGGTTAAGACTTTAAAAAGTTACATAATGAGATTAACTACAAAATGCAGCGAGCGAGTTTCATAGGAAAATCATTTAAAGCTTATCTGCCATAGTTTACAGGAGGAATTAGACCGCCCTACAAGGTCACTAGACAGGTGGTTATCTCATCAACTCAGCTCTCAGTTAACATAAGAAAAAGAGGATCATGGGGGACCAATGGTCACGGATTAGGCATTGTTTGTTATATAGAGGGCGCAAGTAGCTACAAGTAGTGCAGTGGGCCTTTCAGGAAAAAAAAATGCTCTCAGTCGCCATAAATTAGGGCACATGTATATAAATCCATTGTTTCGTGGGAGATGAGGGGTGGTGACAACATGTTGTCATAGCACGTATGTGGTAATTACATGGTTGTCTCTTTATTAAAAAAAATAAATAAAAAAAAATTGGTAATATAAATGCGCAGTTGCCTGGAGTTTGAAACTCTCAAGGGCGTATAGGTTAAAAGGATGATAAGTTGGAAGATGCCTCTTTTAGTAGTACAGTAGAATATATCAGGGAATAAAAGTGCAAATGTTTTAGTGTAAAAATGACACGAGTCTGATTTTAAATGGCTTATCTATAAGGGAGGGACATTAATAACGTTGACAACGAGCACGACTGTATTTCTATAAAGGGGCACAGTTCGTCCTTCCGTTGTGAAATTCAGGGCCGCTTTGCCCCCTAGCTGCCCCGCCTCCACTGCCCTGTCCTTTCTGAGTGTTAGAAATATCTGTAGCTAAACGTTCTGCTCTGATTCTTTGAAACTAGATAGGCTCTTGAGATGACCGCAAAACTAAGGGCATTTTTGTAATAGACAAAGGAATACAATATTATAGTAAAAATCGGCACTCATCAATAGACAATTATTTGAAAGGGAAAGGGTCACTATATCGGAAGGAAAACTAGGCATTTTTTACAAAGGAAATTGGGCACCATATGTCTTGTCAAAGGGGCACTTATGAGACGTGAAAACACTATGAGAATCAAGGAGGAAGACCGGCTTCTTAGAAATAAAATTAGGGGCACCTTTGAGGTACTTAAGAACTGGGGGCACTGTGCCCTCTAAGGCTTGCCCCCGGGAGTGCCATATACCTCTAAACTTTCCATCGGCTTTCTGACGGATCCATAGTTATGGATGAGCATTTTAAGTGCATCAAAATATTGTTGGATTCATGCATGCACTTAGCTTTCTCTTGATATAGGAGCAGCAGGTCCCAACGCCACTAAACATTTTCAACCATCGCATACTGGACAAACGTACCTTCAGTGGCGGATCCAGGGAGGATTGCTCACTACCCCCCCCCCCCCCCGCTTATTCACCGGTTGGCTGTTTCGCCGCTAAAAATATTTCTAAAAGATTTGGGCCCCCTCTTTGGCCCCCTCCCCTGCCGCCGGCTGGATCCGCCCCATGCACACCTTGAATATGGTGGGGGGGGGGGGGGGGGGGGCTGAGAGGGGATGAACCAGAATTGGGCAAAGAGGCAAACTATACCCAGACGATTGAGTGCCGGGCAGTTTATTTAAAAAAAAACCCAGCAATTTGAAGAAGTTTACAAGCATTAGACTCTATTTTCAAAAATATTCTAATTAAAGACCGCGTATGTTGGACAATTATTATAAAGAACAAAATTCATGATGGTAAGTGCTATTTGATGAATATTTTCCTTTTAATCTAACGTCAAAGGAGAAGTCTTCCCCCCCCCCTCACCCCCAAATCATAATTTATAGAAATAACGAAGGCTAAGATGATGACGTATCTGTTCTACCGTATAAATTAACGGTATAGCATGCAATAAGGGGAACTTCCCGAGGTGTTTGCTCACAGTACAGGTATACGATCCTGCGCGGCCGAAACGCGAAAAACGTAGCCTACAGCTACACCGTGTATTGTGCGTGTTGATTTTACTCGATTGAAGCAAAGAGATACTGTCTGTTTTAGTTACTCGGGAGCAGGCTGAAGCTGAAGCCAGGTCTAAGAATACGAGCTACATATCAGACGAAGTCCAAGATCTGATTCCACCCTGGTCGGTAATACATAAGATTTAGGACAATGAGTGCCCAGCCGGTAAAGATAAAGGTAAACAGTTCATGTAAAATATTTTGGGAGTTGCCTAAATCCAGGAAGCTCCGACCCCGATGCATCGGCGTCGGAGCTTCCTGGAATTAGGAGTTGCCTTGCGTGCATGGTGGCCTGCGCCTGAGCTCTTGACTCGAGTAACAAAATAATGTTACATTGGATCTATAGTCATCATTGGTCATGATAGTCACTAGATCTAGACCTAGATCTATAGATCTATAATTAGTATTTTCGCATCACCCCAACTAAATAATTCATGTTGTTGTTGTTGTTTTAGTTTATAGGCGTTTCTCATTCAGAAGTGAATAGGTCTAGTCTACTTTAAGGTTTCATTATTTAGATGTAGAACTTAGAAGATTGATTCCCCGGGGAAAGTGGAATTTGTCAAGATGCCATGTAGACGTAGACTACACAAAATACAAATAATAGCCTACAAGTTCAACTTCAAGGCTATAGATGTAGATCTAGCCTAGTTTAATGTAAATATTCATAAATGAATGATACACGCCAATAAAAACTTATAAAACAACAACAACTTACAGGTATATGAATCTTCATACATATGATCTGTTTTTTTATTGGTTTTCGTACAAAATTTGGTAGAAATGCGGTGGATCGAGGCGACTTGAATTATTGGTGGATGTCAAAGGGCCGCTCACCATTTGGCTGAGTTAGACTTAGAGAACCTTCTCACAATGTACCGTGTCCGGGTTGGTCCGTCCAAATATAGCCAATAGGCCTTTTACTCGGCAGCCACTGACCTCTTCAACATTAAATAAAAAGTTTAACTTTTAAGAATCCAATTTATCCAAATTTATATTTAAAAGAGTAAATCTAATTTGAAAGGGAAAAAAATCCTAACAGAAGAGGCTCCTGAATGATAAACGTCTATAAACCTAAACAACAACAACATATAGTTACAGGCACCAAAAAAAAGGGCACCTTCAAAGGGAAATCTTGAAGCGAAAATATACAATATTTTAGACATTGGTATATACCCCTATATTTTGATTACATTATCAGGGATGATTTCAATATTTGTTTCTCTTTATAAGATATTGCTTATGCATCATACTTTGCAATTGGGTGTGACAGTCTGAAAAAAGGAGTAATTATCAGAGGTGAAAAAGGGCACTTATCGCATCTGAAAAGGGGCACTAACCATATTTGAAAAGAGGCACTCATGAGAATGAAAAGGGGCACTAATAATAAAGGGAAATGTGCATTTGTTGAACGAAAAGGGGTACCGATCACATCTTAATAGGGGCATTTATCGGAGGTGAAAGAGAGCTTTTATGAGAAGGGAGAAGTGGCTCTTATTAAAAAGAAAAAGAGGCATGTTAAAATAAACATGTCACTTATCAGAGATGAAAATAGGTAATTATGAGAAGGGGAAGGGACACTTATAAGAAGGGAAAAGAGCATTTATTAGGAAGGAAAAGGGGAAATGTCAAAATAAAAGGGGCATTTATTAAAGATGAAAAGACCACTCATCAGAAGGGGAAGGGGCACTTGTCAAAGTAAATCGCGTATCTCTCAGAATTGAATAAGGTCATTTAGAAAAGATGAAAAGGGGCTCTTATGAAAATAAAAAGGAACTATCATCATAGGTGAAAAGGAGTATTTATGAGAAGGGGAAGGGGCTCTTTTTAATGGGGGCACTTATTAGAAAGGAAAGGGGGCACATGTGAAAATATAAGGTTCGCTTATCTGAGTTAAAAATGGGTAGTTATCAAAAGGGGAAGGAGCATTTCTTACAAAGGAAAAGGGGCACTTGTCAAAGCAAAAGGGGCACCTCTCAGATTTGAATAAGGCAATTATCAGAGGTGAAGGGTGCGCTTTTTAAAAGTGAAAGGGACACTTACTAGAGATTAAAAAAAGCACTTATGAGAATGGAAAATGCACACTTATTGCAAAGGAAATGGGAATGGGAAATTAATAGGGGCACTTGTCAAAGTAAAGCGGCACTTCCTACAAAGTTAAAGGGGCACTTCCTACAAATTTAAGGAGGCACTTTTCCTATGTAAAACGGGGCACTTTTTGGGTACTCCAAAAAGTCGGGGGGGGGGGGGGGGGGGGGGGGCACTGTGCCCCCGTCCCCCGGGAGCGCCGCCTCTGTATACATGTACCAAATGAGGTCGAAAGGTGATCAGTTTTCTACAGGTGTCAATAATGTATTGTTACTATTGTAAGCTGTTATAATTCTTATTACTACTACTACTACTACTACTACTACTACAACTTACTCCTGCTACTACTACTACTTGCTACTGCTACTACTTCTACTACTACTACTACTACTACTACTACTACTTCTACTACTACTACTACTACTACTATTACTTCTACTACTCCTTACTACTTCTACCACTCCTTACTACTTCTACTACTTCTACTACTTCTACTACTTCCACTACTACTCAGGGTTGTGCGGTAAATACCGGTGGCGGTAATTACCGGCGGTAAATACCGGTAAATACCGTCCGGTAAATAAGATGCACGTCCGGTAAATATGTAAAAAACGGGAAATTTGATTTCAATTCTCTATTTATTAATAATTCTACTTGTTTTTAGCCTCATAACTGAAAATATTGTTCTGAAATAATTAGCAGCACAATACTCATAGTAGGAACACACAAACAGATTTATAAAATCCTCACTGCATACATGTACACACCCAAACAAATGGCATTTTGTTCATATGCTAATTATTAGGTATTCATGAATATGGTAATTAGCAACTGGGAACCAAAACCTTCATACAAGTTACTTTTATTGTAAAGTTTAAGATATTTGAAGAAAATCAGTGAACATTTGAACAAAATCGAGCAAGGAATAAGGAAGCTAAAGCTTTTTGAAATGACTAGTCACTAGAGGGCGATATTCAATTTGATGACATCATTTGTGGACAACTCTCCATGCCTTTTGTACATCAAATTTCATGTTTTTCCTTCTTTCTTGTGATTGAGATAATAGAATGCAAAATGATATTCTACTTCACATGTTATGAAATCCGATCAAGAACACAAATAAATAGGAAAAAAACGAAAGAATTGTGAAATTTGATGTACAAAAGGCATGGAGAGTTGTCCACAAATGATGTCATCAAATTGAATATCGCCCTCTAGTGACTAGTCATTTTAAAAAGCTTTAACTTCCTGGTTGGTTGGTTAACTTCCTTATTCCTTGCCCGATTTTGTTCAATTTTTCACTGATTTTATTCAAATATGTTAAACTTTACAATAAAAGTAACTTAGTATGAAGGTTTTGGTTCCCTTTAATGAAGAACATCATATCTAGATTAGGTGTACATGTATATTTGGTATCTTTTTCCTGAATTTTTTTTCCAGCATTACATAATTACAGACATACACGTAGACAAACACACAAACAAACACACCACTACACGTTTATGGCGTCAAACGAGGACCAAGTTTAGTACTTGTGTGTGTGTGCATGGGTAATTGCCTTCAACCGCGGACCACTCCATAGAAAACTACATTCAACCGCGGACGTACCTGCTATGGGATGATAGCAGGTAGCGCGCCTTTCCCGCGCAGTCATCGAAGGGGGCGCTGTGACATTTCGCGATACACATAGGATTGATCCACTCGATGTTTGCTACACGCTGTGACATCTAATATTCAAACGCCCCCTACGTCGTAAATTTTATACGGCGAAAACCAGGATCGCAACCGTGGACGGTAGGGTAGTTTTCCATGGAGTGGTCAGCGGTTGATGGCGTTTACCAACGCACACACACACACACAAAAAGTACACACAAGAGCAACCATACTCACCACCATTGTTATTATGTTCAAAATTGAAATATCCCTATGAACAAGTGAGTGGAAAAATATATTTCCCGGTATTTCCCAGTAAAAAGTGGTAAATACCGGTAAAAAGCGGTAAATACCGGTAAAAAGCGGTAAATACCGGTAAATACTGCTTATTTCCCGGCGTCTGGGAAATAAGCCTCCAAAGCGGGAAATATGCCAACCCTGCTACTACTTCTACTACTACTTCTACTACTACTTTCTACTTGCTACTGCTACTACTACTACTACTACTACGAATAAATGTTACTAAATATTACTAAGTACTACTACTACTACTACTACTACTACTACGACTACTACTATTACTACTACTACTACTACTACTAAATACTACTTAATACTACTACTACTACTTCTACTACTACTACTACTACTTCTACTGCTACTGCTACTGCTAGAGGAGTCATAGTCTAGTGAATATGTCCAAAGATTGTAGATCATATGGTTCATGGTTATAGTCCGACCGCAGCACTAATGTCCTTTGGCAAGACATCAATCTGCATTTGCCAAACTCGACCCAGGTGAGGCAAATGGGTCCCTGGCAGGAATCCTAGGGTGCCATAATGGCATCCATGCCAAAACAGCGGGGTAACAATTGTGGAGTGTCAAGTCTGACAGACATGAGCGCTATACAAGAACCCACTATTATTATTATAATTCTCCAGCGGACCATCGGTTGAGACGAATTTGAATGAATTCTGATGAAAATGAAATGAACAGGTGTTGGCATTCATTGACCATTGACCAACGTGAATGACAAAACTAACTTTGAGATGTTCATGTTGCCGGATTCTCAGGATTAAATTAAAGTTCATATTGATGACATGGAATACAAAAAAGTGTTAAAGTGGAAAGGAAATCCTATAGGAAATGATAATGTTAAATTAAAAAGTGCCTTTTCTTGAAGATGATTAGAAAGGGAAAGAGTAGTAGTTTAGAAAGACTGATATACTGAAAGTAAACTTGGTTTGTATTTGATCTTTCATCCTGTACAGACTGTCTCTATCTTAGAGGACTACACGATAGATTGGACTCAAAAACTTGGGACAGGAATCAATGGTCCTGTAAGACCATGCCAACATAAGAGAAGTGAGGACAGATTTGCTCTGAAGCTTCTTCTTGACAAACCCGGTGCAAGGGCAGAGGTCAACCTTCACTCTCGCTGCAGTGGACATGCTAACATTGTTAAAGTAGATATTCATTGATTTTAAAAACTAACTTCATTTTCATTAAAGCTAAAGACCAGTTATGGTCATGCGATTGCATTGTGAAAGAAACATTGTAATCGATCAGAAAAGGTTGATCATCTAGCATAGATGTACTGCAAGGTTCTGGAATCATCAAAATGATAAGAAATTTGGCCAAGTCTTCATAAAGTTAGAATCACTGTACACAGAAAGATGTATATGGGACTACACACATGTGCGCGACACGTGCATTTGTATCTCTCAACAGGCAAGAGATACACTAATTTACCAAATATATCAATTAGTAGGCGGTTTCCCGTCAACATTTTTATCATCATGCATTATTCAAAACATATTCTTTCACATGATTGGTAATAAGAGCTTCCATTTCATTTTTTTAAATTGGGGCGTTTCCAATACTGGTCTTTACCTTTAATGCAAAGTCGAAACTTTGATTCGACAAGGTTATCAAAATTCAATGCTTGAAAACATTCAAAGTAATGATTATTATAAATTACAAACCGCTTAAATACAGCCCAGGCATAGCACCCGAAGAGCTCTCTGAACGCTGCAGAGATGTGTGAGATCACGGTATGGATATGATTTGCACAAGCAGACGATGTCCCATGACATCTCACACATTTTCAGTGCCTGTGTTTTCATCTTCTCTTGAGTTCTTTCTCTTACTTCACTCCCGTCACAAATGCCGTCCTTAATATCATACCGGGGGGTTTTCAATTTGAAAGTCTGGTTTGACCTAAAACTTGTACGATGGCCATCTGTTAGCTTACCAGTTTCTAGTGATACATTAGTTGACATATTCATGATTTTCTTTGAATTTCACCTTTAAGATCATTGAGGTCTTCTCCAACGAGGTCCAGTTCCCGGGAGAACCTGCTCCCAAAAGTCGTCTTCTTGTTGTCATGGAGCTGATGGACGGTGGCGAATTATTTGATCGGATCAGTAAACAGAAACGATTCACTGAAAGGCAGGCAGTCATTCTTACTAAACAGGTAAACCTTTGGAATGACATTCTTTCTCATAGCACTAATAAAGACATATCCGAGAAATGCTGTCTTGTTTCCAAATACATTAGGCTATCAAAAACAATTCTGAAATATGGAATTTGATCAGTTTTTACTTGTAACAAATGTTATTGTTTATTTCATTTAGTTTATACTTGAGCTTTCATGAGCTTTCTCTTCTTTTCCAGTGAGAAAGAGAAATAATCAAGTGACTGAGTTTACATTATGACTCGCTTGCTATATGAAGCAGCATTTTCTATAGGACTTTGATTTAAAAGATAGGTGTTGTAGCTTCAGTCAGTTGTATTGAGGTGTGGAGCATGTCAAGGTGCTGGCTCTTCTCAGTAACCAAATTCATCTGTTGCCTGTTACATCTGTTGAATGGAGAATTGGAGGGACTCATTTTTATAAAGGATAATAATTCTGAAGGTTTGTAACTCTGGAACACATATTTCACATACCAGGGCTTTATAATTCTGAACCAGGCCTGATTTTTTTTAAGATTGTGATTTAGTTCTTTTGATTTAAAAAAAAATTTATCATGATTTTTTTCCCTCCAAAAATGGATAGTCCATAAGATCGATGTAAATCTGCTTTTCATGACTTGCTTGAACGCCTCGCTTTGCTCAAATTTCTAAAAACCTCTTTCTTTTTAAAACTCTCACTATCACCCCTGCTGAACATATGTTGTGTTATTCCAAAGTTTGGTTTATCCAAAGTTTTCATGATTACGAAAGTGAAATAGGGTTCATTATTCTGAAGGTTCGTAATTCAAAAAAAGAAATAGAGTACGTTATTTCAAAGGTGTTTCACTATAAAACAACAACACAGGGTTCTAGGACATGTACAGAATTATGAGCCCAATTTCATTTTCAGAAATCGAAACCTTCAGATTTCTGAATCTTGGGAGTAACAGACCTTAAAAGAAAAATCTGGAGAACTATGATTTGACCTGTCCTTCCCACAATGCAATAAGATGCAATGTTCTCACACATATACAGTGCAGGCCTTAAATTTCAATATTTTTAGGGCAAGGCCACTTTTCTGTAGGGCACATCCCTATATAGTATATTACAGCACAAATAGGAAGAATTGGAAAGGGCACAAAAAATCTCTAAGGCCAATGAGAGGGGCAGTAAGGCCAATCAAAGGGGCATCCACGGCCTTGGTGGCCTTGGATTAATTTAAGCCTTGACAGTGTATGTGACATAATTATGTTATCTTGCACTCATTGAATTGTGAATTAGTAGGTGATTTTTTATTTTTTCTGTTTGTACTTGGTTTAGATAGCATCAGCTGTGTTACAGTGTCACAGTCTAAACATAGCTCACAGGGACTTGAAACCTGAGAACCTATTACTCAAAGACAACTCGGAGGTAAACCAACTCTTTTTAAAACTTTTAATTCAATGCAATTTCGGTTTATTAATATCAACATGTACTATGTACAATGCAGTAGTCTGAGGACCAATAATGCAATGTTTACATTAAATGTGCATAAAAACAGGAATGATCATATATTATACATGTACAATTAAAATGATAACAATTAAAGTTATAATACTTGTTCATACCTCAAGATACATATTTTGCTAAATGATAGTAGAGGGATGACTTACTGTAAAAGTAACTTGAAATGTTTAACTTTTGGGACAAGCATACCACATTTTATGTTGGCTCAGTAACTCCTTGATTCACAGCCTTGACCCTAAACTAAAGTATGCACCAGATGCATGAAGGACCCCAAGGAAGAACAGTAGTGTTTACAGAACTTCTGTAAACACTGCTGACTTGGACTTTCCGCCGATTTTTGTCTATGTACATGTATAAATATTTTACTTTGTATATTTTACTATGTTTAATATTTTTATCTGATTTCGGAAATAAAAACAACAACAACAACAACCTAAAACTGATATGATTGTCATCTGCAAGCTTCCTGGGACCCGTTTCACAAAACTTGTCATCAGTAACAAATGACAGTCTTTGTTATAAGCTACTGAAATCCTTGCTTCTGATTGGTTATCAGCAGATTTATCACTGATTTTTGTCATTTGTCATTAAAAAAAGGCTTTGTGAATCGGGTCCCTGGTTTCTAGTGATACATGTCAGGCCATAATAGTGATTTTAATTGAATGTGTACTTTAACATCCTCAGTAGTCCATCACCAAATCCAGTCTCATGACAAAAATTGGGATTGGATCTGACTCCCATGGCTTGTTTACTAGCCTGGGGAAAAGATCACATAACACAGAGCCCACTGAAAAATAGGGAATTAACTGGTACAAATGTTGCTTACTTTTAATGCTATCGGAATATAACATGGAACCTAAAATGTAATCCTCCTCATTTTATGAAAAATAAGTACATAATTGGTAGCTACGTTTTCATCCTGTTGGCATTTAATTGTATCAGCATATCTATTTGGCATCTGTGTTTCCATCTTAAGTTAGGCCACTGTCTCATTGTAAAATCCTTGTTGACTAATTTGCAGGATTCACCGGTCAAGCTATCAGACTTTGGATTTGCTAAGGTGGACGATGGAACATTGATGACCCCTCACTTTACTCCATACTATGTAGCACCTCAGGTCAGTACCAGTCTTACTCCTATTGCACAATTGGAATACAAACTTCATTTTTGATTTTAAAGAGCAAGCCAACATTTGTCATACGTTCATGTGTATGAAAGCAGAGGAACATATTGCAAAACTCAAATTGGCAATGTTATCAGTGGATTTTGACGTCTTCATGGACAGTTCTCCTGTATGTCGTGTGCAAAACTATTGATAATTTCTGTTTTTCTGCAAAACACCATCTCCCTTTGGCAAGTGTTTTTCAAAATATATCATAGATATCACATTATTACAGGGGAGTGTTTCACAAAGACTAAGATCAACTTACACTTGGACTTAACTATGGCAGGCTGTTCATGCCACTATTTGCTCTCACCATTTACTGCCATTGGTCTCTCGAGGGACTTACAAATCATGGTCACAAATCTACAGAATTTACAATTTGTTAATAATTCATTATTAAAAGAAAAGATATTACCTAAAGATCACAATGGTGAGAGCAAACACTGGCATGAATGGCCTGTCATAGTTAAGTCCAACTTACAGTCGATCTTAGTCTTTGTGAAACACTCCCCAGGTCCTCTAGAAGGAAAAGACCCTCCTGTGTCTTATATTTTGAAGAAAAGAAATACACATTTTAGTTAGTTTGTGTATAAGAACAAATGGGATAGCTGTCCAGCACTACATCACAGTGAAATTACTGATTCAGTCAATTTGAAGTATTACAACTTTAAAACATTCATAACTTTCTTACTTTTTGTCTGATTTCGTTCAAACTTTCACTGAATTTTCTGCTTTCTTTTAGATTAGTTTGCTATGAAGGTTGTATTTTACTTAAAGAGGGAAATGTGTTTGTTATATCAATATATCAATAAGTGATGCATGGAGTTTACATGTTTTTATGCCTCCGCCACCGAAGGTGGTGCCGGAGGCATCATGTTTTCGGGTTGTCCGTCCGTACATGTACGTCCGTACGTCCGTCCCGTTTGACCGTTATCACAATATCTCAAGAACCATTTAAGATTTAAACTTAAGACTCGGGAATAGTATTTATCACCATAGGAAGACGATCTGATTAGATTTTGGAGAACGTAGGTCAAAGGTCACAGGTCACAGAGGTCAACTTATGAAATTCCTTGTATTGAGTTTGTTAGCGCGATATATCAAGAACCATTTGAGATTTAAACTTCAAACTTAAGGATAGTATGTATCACCATAGGAAAACGATCTGATTAGATTTTGGAGCACGTATGTCAAAGGTCAAGGGTCACAGAGGTCAACTTATGAAATTCCATACATTGAGATTGTTATCATGATATCTCAAGAACCACTGGAGATTTAAACTTCAAACTTAGTGATAGTGTGTATCACTATAGGAAAACAATCTGATTACATTTTGGAGCACGTAGGTCAAAGGTCAAGGGTCATAGAGGTCAACTTATGAAATTCCATACATTGAGATTGTTATCATGATATCTCAAGAACCACTGGAGATGTAAAAACTTCAAACTTAAGGATAGTATGTATCACCATAGGAAGACGATCTGATTAGATTTTGGAGCACGTAGGTCAAAGGTCAAGGGTCACAGAGGTCAACTTATGAAATTCCATACATTGAGATTGTTATCATAATATCTCAAGAACCACTGGAGATTTAAACTTCAAACTTAATGATAGTGTGTATCACCATAGGAAGACAATCTGATTAGATTTTGGAGCACGTAGGTCAAAGGTCAAGGGTCACAGAGGTCAACTTATGAAAGATTGATGGATTCCTGCCAAACTTAGATCATTTATGTATCTTGCAGAGCCAATGAATGGTTCATAAGATCAAAGGTCATGGGCTCATTATGTATGCAAAAATAGCTTGTTGACGCATTCTCATTAGAACTGACAGATGGATTACTATTTAACTCAGGAAATCTTGCAGAGCCAATGAACTGAGTAGATTTTATGGTCATGAGGTCAAAGATCAAAGGGTCATATATGTATACGAGAAATTGCTTGTAATCACGATATTCTGAGAACATGTTAATGGATTACAATTGAACTTGAATTTGAAAAATTTCTTCCGTTTCGGTTTGTAAAAATGCTCTATGACGGAGGCATCATTTTCGACTGCGCGCAGTCGAATTCCATCTAGTTTTTTTTAATTGGCTAGTTTCCCCATAATGAATGTACATACATGCGATTAGATTGATCCTGAACCCTATACCCCTTTGAAAGGAGCGTAGGGGCAAATATTGTAAAAATTTGAATTATCACAACTTTCGGGCCGAAATTATAAGGGCCAGGTTGGTTCAGTATTTTGGAGGAAAAAATTATATTTTTTGAATAGGCTAGTTTTCCCACAATGAATGTATATACATGCCATTAGATGGATCCTGACCCCCACATCCCTTTGAAAGGGGCGTAGTGGCAAATATTAAAAAAATTTGAGTTATCACAACTTTTGGGCCGAAATGGTAAGGGCCGGGGTGGTTCAGCATTTTGGAGGAAAATATTGTGTTTTTTGAAGAGGCTAGTTTCCCCACATTGAATGTATATACATGCCATTAGATGGATCCTGACCCCCATATCCCTTTGAAAGGGGGGTAGGGGCAAATATTGTAAAAAGTTGAATTATCACAACTTTCGGGCCGAAATGGTAAGGGCCGGGGTGGTTCAGCATTTTGGAGGAAAATATTAAATATTTTTATAATGCTAGTTTCCCCACTATGAATGTACATACATGCCATTAGATGGATCCTGACCCCCATATCCCTTTGACAGGGGGGTAGGGGCAAATATTGTAAAAATTTGAATTATCACAACTTTTCGGGCCGAAGTTGTAAGGGCCGGGGTGGTTCAGCATTTTGGAGGAAAATATATATTTTTTTAATAGGCTAGTTTCCCCACATTAAATGTATATACATGCCATTAGATGGATCCTGACCCCCATATCCCTTTGAAAGGGGCGTAGTGGCAAATATTGTAAAAATTTTGAATTATCACACCTTTCGGGCCGAAATTGTAAGGGCCGGGGTGGTTCAGCATTTTGGAGGAAAAAATTATTTTTTTTTAATTATGCTAGTTTCCCCACAATGAATGTACATACATGCCATTAGATGGATCCTGACCCCCATATCCCTTTGAAAGGGGTGTAGGGGCAAATATTGTAAAAATTTGAGTTATCACAACTTTCGGGCCGAAATGGTAAGGGCCGGGGTGGTTCAGCATTTTGGAGGAAAATATTATTTTTTTTAAATTGGCTAGTTTCCCCACAGTGAATGTACATACATGCAATTAGATGGATCCTGACCCCCACATCCCTTTGAAAGGGGCGTAGTGGCAAATATTGAAAAATTTGAGTTATCACAACTTTCGGGCCGAAATGGTAAGGGCCGGGGTGGTTCAGCATTTTGGAGGAAAATATTAATTTTTTTTATTATGCTAGTTTCCCCACAATGAATGTATATACATGCCATTAGATGGATCCTGACCCCCATATCCCTTTGAAAGGGGCGTTGTAGCAAATGTTGAAAAATTTGAGTTATCACAACTTTCGGGCCGAAATGGTAAGGGCCGGGGTGGTTCAGCATTTTGGAGGAAAATATTGTGTTTTTTTAATAGGCTAGTTTCCCCACATTGAATGTATATACATGCCATTAGATGGATCCTGACCCCCATATCCCTTTGAAAGGGGCGTAGTGGTAAATATTGTAAAAATTTGAATTATCACACCTTTCGGGCCGAAATGGTAGGGCTGGGGTGGTTCAGCATTTTGGAGGAAAATATTAAATATTTTTATAATGCTAGTTTCCCCACAATGAATGTACGTACATGCCATTAGATGGATCCTGACCCCCATATCCCTTTGACAGGGGGGGTAGGGGCAAATATTGTAAAAATTTGAATTATCACAACTTTTCGGGCCGAAGTTATAAGGGCCGGGGTGGTTCAGCATTTTGGAGGAAAATATTATATTTTTTTAATTGGCTAGTTTCCCCATAATGAATATACATACATGCGATTAGATGGATCCTGAACCCTATATCCCTTTGAAAGGGGCATAGGGGCAAATATTGTAAAAATTTGAATTATCACAACTTTCGGGCCGAAATTGTAAGGGCCGGGGTGGTTCAGCATTTTGGAGGAAAAAAATATATTTTTGAAAAGGCTAGTTTCCCCACAATGAATGTACATACATGCCATTAGATGGATCCTGACCCCCATATCCCTTTGATAGGGGCGTAGTGGTAAATATTGTAAAAATTTGAATTATCACACCTTTCGGGCCGAAATGGTAAGGGCCGGGGTGGTTCAGCATTTTGGAGGAAAATATTAAATATTTTTATAATGCTAGTTTCCCCACAATGAATGTACATACATGCCATTAGATGGATCCTGACCCCCATATCCCTTTGAATGGGGCGTATTGGTAAATATTGTAAAAATTTGAATTATCACACCTTTCGGGCCGAAATGGTAAGGGCCGGGGTGATTCTGCATTTAGGAGGAAAAAATTATATATTTTGAAAAGGCTAGTTTCCCCACAATGAATGTACATACATGCCATTAGATGGATCCTGACCCCCATATCCCTTTGAATGGGGCGTAATTGTAAATATTGTAAAAATTTGAATTATCACACCTTTCGGGCCGAAATGGTAAGGCCGGGGTGGTTCAGCATTTTGGAGGAAAAAATTAATTTTATTTAATTATGCTAGTTTCCCCACAATGAATGTACATACATGCCATTAGATGGATCCTGACCCCCATATCCCTTTGAAAGGGGTGTAGGGGCAAATATTGTAAAAATTTGAGTTATCACAACTTACGGGCCGAAATGGTAAGGGCCGGGGTGGTTCAGCATTTTGGAGGAATATATTAATTTTTTTTATTATGCTAGTTTCCCCACAATGAATGTATATACATGCCATTAGATGGATCCTGACCCCCATATCCCTTTGAAAGGGGCGTAGTGGTAAATATTGTAAAAATTTGAATTATCACACCTTTCGGGCCGAAATGGTAAGGGCCGGGGTGGTTCAGCATTTTGGAGGAAAATATTAAATATTTTTATAATGCTAGTTTCCCCACAATGAATGTACATACATGCCATGAGATGGATCCTGACCCCCATATCCCTTTGACAGGGGGGTAGGGGCAAATATTGTAAAAATTTGAATTATCACAACTTTTCAGGCCGAAGTTGTAAGGGCCGGGGTGGTTCAGCATTTTGGAGGAAAATATTATTTTTTTTAAATTGGCTAGTTTCCCCACAGTGAATGTACATACATGCAATTAGATGGATCCTGACCCCCACATCCCTTTGAAAGGGGCGTAGTGGCAAATATTGAAAAATTTGAGTTATCACAACTTTCGGGCCGAAATGGTAAGGGCCGGGGTGGTTCAGCATTTTGGAGGAAAATATTAATTTTTTTTATTATGCTAGT